GGGGCGCCGCGCACGGTGTCGGGCTGGAGCATCCCGGCGCGGAGGTCATGGATGAAGCCGAGGGAGGAGACGATGAGAGACGAGGCGCGAGGGAGTTGTTGGCCGCGATCGGGAGTTGGATCGTTCCTACGGGAGAAGGGAAGGGAGTGAGCGACTGCACTGTATAGCCCGATCTTGCGCATCTCGGAACTTGGTTTCCGAAGGTGACAGAGTGAATGCGGGGTAGAGAGCGCCGTGGGGTGGGATATATGCGAGGAGGACAGAAGACTCACTCAAGCACAAAGAAAGGATTGAGAGCAAGGACCACGGGTCGGAGTGCGAGAGGTAGGATTCGTACCTGCGAGGAGGAGTAAGTCGGAGGAGCAGGGGACACACAACCGAAATGAACTCACCAGAACTCTTCGATGTAGCTGATCGTGGACAACCACGAGTAAGCAAAAGAAGGCGGGGACCGAGGGAGTGGAAACACGCACCTTGCCTTGTCCTTCGCATACTCCTTCAGTTTCTCTTGTATGCGCGGGCCTTCGTTGTGCAGGAACTCCTCGACCGCACGTTTCGTATCCTCATGTTCTCGCTTGTCTTGCAGACCTTCGAGCGCGCGGAGGTATCGTCGGCACGTCTCTTCGAGTGACGGTATGGGGAGCTTTGGGAGTTCGCCTTGGCGGGCGAGCGTCCGTGATTCAGGCGGGTCCGCCGTGAACGTCGTAAGGTGTCCCATCGTCGGCAGTCTCGACGCGCGAGGGAGGAAGAGGATCAGGAACGAAGAAGAGCAGGGGGGAGATGTGGATGGGTCGAGGATGGAGTGACAAACGGCACTTATGATGGAGCTTTCAGAGCCTTCGGCCGGATGACGGCACGTGCGCGTCCTGGAGCGCGGGGAAGCGCGGGGTCGCCCATTCGCTATCTAGTTCCGCCAAGCGCTCTTGACCAGGTCCGCGCGCCTGCGATCTCGCGACTCCGAGTCGCAGCCCGGCAGAATCACTGTTCCACGCCTGACATTCTGTGTGCGCGCGCAGCATCTCCGGAAGGCGTTGTGGCCGCGACAACCTCCCCGCATTTCGAGGGCTGCGTTCCCTGCGGCGTGCATGATTGCGTGTCCCACACTGCGCGCCGCGCAAGCTGCCTATCGCGGTGACATCGCGCGCTCCCCAGATGGACCTGAAAGATGCGCGCGGTCTGAGTTCGTGCGAAGGAAAAATGCGTAAGGATGCGGCGAGAACAACAGAGTACAGAGATGGTTTGGTCTAGGGTCCCTATGTCACAGGGTGCGCGCAAATGCATCCAGTGCCCCGAGCCAGGGTCATGAGCCGCTCCGCGGCGGCGGTGGCGTCCCGCGCGTTTTCCGCGCTCGTCAGCACTGTGCGCGCCCCAACGCAGAGTTCCGTCGTGACTGCGAGAGAAGCAGCTGATCAACGAGGAAGGTGCGGGGGTGCGGGGAAAGGCGGGGCGGGTGAGCAGAGATTAACGGGAGATAGGCTCAGCACGCCGTTCCGGGGAAGGCCGAGGACAACGTGCGAGACGTACCTGACGACGTCGACGTGTACTAGCACGACCCCAGTGATGAGAAATGTGAGCGCCCGCGAGATCAAACCATGAGAATCTCAACAATTACTGCTGCGATAGTCTTCGGATTTTGTACACATGCTGGCAGTGTCGTAAGAAAGCGATTTGCAAAATTTCAGAGGAAACGGGTACGTATTGCGCCCCCAGTGGGCGAACCGGCCGCGGACCCTAGTTATGAGAAATTTCGCCGAGGCTCAGTCACGGCACGGGTCACGCAGCCGACATCAACTCCGCTCGGCTAGCCCGTCGGACGCGTCCAGTGATGACAGCATCCTCCCTGACGGCAACGTCGGAGACTGAAATTCACTCACGTTCTGTGGCCGAAGTCACGCTTGAACCGACCCAAAGTGCGTTTTCGCCCCCCTCCTGCAGATATTGTGCCGGAGAATTCGAATTAAGGCAGCCATCGTTCATCCAACACCCCTCGCGCAGCTTCAACCTAAGCGCTGTTCATAGGATCGTAGCCGACCGGTATCAAATCCTCGACTTTTCTCATTCGAGAGATGTTTGCCAAAGATCGGGCTTGTTTCTGCACGGAACGACGTCGTTCTTTTTGCAAACGAAATTTAACACATACTCCTACCAACATGTGAATTTTCAACATTATCGGACGAGGGACGGGACCGTCAGACCAGATTTCTCAACACTGGGGCCTTTCTCATCACTGGGGTCGTGATAGTATCGTCGTGGGTCCGCCGGAGCCGGCGGCTGTCGATTTCGGCGGCGAATTCGAGCAGCGGCTTGTGCGCACGGCGGCTCATTTGTCTGAACTTGCTGAGCTTGAGGCGCGTTGTGCTGTTTTCGTCGTGCTCCCATCGCTTCCGATGCCGCGTTGAGCCCATTTTTCTCGACAAGGAATGGAGCCCCGGCTTTCCCGAGCATCGCGGGCTTTTCCTCGACAAGAGAGGGGCACAGAATAGTGCCTGTTGCAAAAGGGGACGGAGTGAGGATCCGAATACCTCAGGATTGACCGGGAATGCTTACAGAAGGCGCAATCGTAGACGCGACGGAACTTGATCCTTCCACATGAGACAGACGGAAGGGGTCGGTATTCAAGTATTCGTCCTCGGAAACGAGCAGGTCCATCTTGAGGTCGGCGAGTTCCGGAGAGTTGTACAGAGGACAGAAGAAAATATTGGGATCGCTCCGGCTCTGCATGTTGGGTATAAGGCGACGTTTGACGAGGGTAACTGGAATTCAGGGTGAATACTAGATCGCTTCGTGGACAGCGTGAAGAATATATGTACAAGGTCTTGCTTTGACGAGAGCCACATCCTGAAGCGGGCTTTCGGCGAACAAAGAGTCGTCATTGTGGCCTGAAAGCGGGATTGAGTGGTCTAGTGAGCCACTCAGGAACCGGCAAAGAGCATTGAACATGTCCGGACAAGCTTTAGTATAAGTACGTGCTCCTTCGGAGTCCCATGATAACAAAAGTGGATGGTAATTCGTCAAGACCACAGTTTCTGACCGAGTATTTATTACTGGCGCAGGCTTGATCAGCCGGTCATAGCGCCATCGAGAACCGTGCGCGCTCCGCTCTCGAGCCTGTTATCGTTGGTCCAGCCCCGACTGCTAGTCTCTCTACGCGCTGAGTCCGATTCCTAGCGGTTGGGCGAGACACGACGTATACTGGGACGGACGCGTCGCGGTGCGGCCCGCTGGTGGGCGGACAAAGCGCGCGCGATTTGGAAAAGACTCAGAGGGAGGGTCGGGTGGATGTAAAACGCGTTCGTCGGTTGTCGGGGACTCGGGATCTGAGCGTGAAGGATGAGCGCGGAGAGCGACGATGGTGGAGGAGACGAAAGAGCGGTGGGCGTAGACGCTGAGAGCTGAGCGCTCACGTACCAGGACATATGGAGGACCTGGTGCCGCACGGCGTTCATCTACCTCGTCGACCAGTTCAAGCAGCGCTCCCGAAGTTTGCGTACCTCCATGTCGTCGCGCCCAGCGCGCTGGCTATGTAACTTAGGTCAGAAGCACCCGCCGTACGACGCACGCAGAAGTAAATAGGTGGCGGGCGAGCCGTCCGGCGACCAGAGTCGACGGCACTCCCACACTGCAGGCTGCGCGGCGCACGTAGTGAATGTCGCTCCGATAACTCAGCCACACAGTGAGTGCCGCACGTTATTACCCTCACCTCCCGCGCACTCTTCCTCACCCTCCTCCCACCGCGTCCCCCTCCCTTCACTCTCCTATCACCTCGCTCCAGAGGCCAGAGAGTATGACTCGGAGCAGGCACTCCCCCGGCTTCCTCAAGCCGCGGCGGAAGCTGGCGGACCTGGGCAGGCGGAGCGGAGGTCACGTATGGTACGCACCCACTGCCCCCTTCGCCACCCACTCACTCCATTTCGTCCGCATGATGGCTAGATTCAGGCTCTGGCTCTCTCTGGCCCCCGCGGGGCCGACCGTCATCTGTCCCGTATACACATTTCTCCTCTCGCTAGTTCGTTACTGTTCGTAGCGCCTACCATGGCTCGGCCCTCCAGGGCGTTAGGAAGCAAACAAACAAACAAACACACCCACCATACGGCGACCCTCCTGATGGTGTGTATTGACAGCATTATTGGTTCGTGTTGATTGAGGAATGGTCTTACCCATGCTGGTGTCGAAATTGCGTGCGGGGTCGCTGACACGTTGACTACGGTCTAGTCAATCTGACCAGTTCTTTCCCGCTCGGTGCCGACTGACGTCGCGCAAGCATCCGTCTTTTGGCCCGGAACTTGGTATCGACTCTCGTCGCCAGCCACTCTGTACTACCCCAAAACCGCCTACACGGGTGGGGTGGGGTGCAGAGTGGCTGCCAACGGAACCGTTCCTAGCTTAAGTACATCTGAGCGCTGAGCGCTGAGCATCGAGCACACAGCCGACTCGGGCGGAGTTTGAGAGCGACCGGCAGTTACCGACCCTCCGCAGCGGCGTAGACTCCGCCTCAATCGGCTGTGCAAATTTGCCGCCAGGGTCTATGGATCGGCATGGGCTGAGCTGGAGCTGTTCTCCATCTGTCCTCAAACAGGCAGGTGCCAGGAAACCTGCCAGTGTGGCATCGGAGGACACTCGACAGTGGCTAAGCGGAGCCGTGTCCGACCTCGAAGCTAAGTCCAGACCTATGCTAGGCTCTATGTATAAAGACCTGAGATGACGAGCTAGAAGAGCGCTTCTCCCACACGCAACCAGTGTCATTCCGATCACTCCCCTGGCCCACACCCATCCTGGTACGTATCCCGCTCGTCGTGATAGATCTCTCCGCCGACACCCTTTTGCAGCACGACAAGATGCGCCTCCTTGCCACCGACACCGGCTCATGTCCGAGTTCATGGACCCGACCGGAGTCAAGTACGCAATCCTCTCTCACGTGTGGGCCAAGAAAACGGTCGACAACGACAAACCCTACGAGCCAGAACTCACCTACGACGACTACATCCGCCTTCGCACCGAGCATGGCGACAACTCCTCTTCGACAACTCCCTCCGAAAGTACGACACTCTTGCGAGGTCGCCAAACATCACGGCATCTCCTTCATCTGGATCGACACCTGCTGCATCAACAAGTCGAACAGCTCCGAGCTTTCGGAGGAGATCAACTCCATGTATCGATGGTACAGCCTCGCGCAAGTCTGCTACGCCTACCTCTACGACGTCGACCACGCCAAGACCAAGTTCCACGACAGTGAATGGTTCAAACGCGGGTGGACACTACAAGAGCTCATTGCGCCCCCCGAAGTCCTCTTCTTTGACACCGACTGGAAGATGATCGGCTCGCGCTACGACCTCTCGGACGAAATCCGGTCTATCACCAACATAGACCGCGCCGTCCTCCGGCAGGAGCGTCAGATCTCCGACGTCTGCGTCGCTCAGCGCATGTCGTGGGCGGCATCCCGGAAGACGACACGCGAGGAGGACATGGCCTACTGCTTGATTGGAATCTTCGGCGTCCATCTCTCCCCCCTCTACGGCGAGCGCGACCACGCCTTCATCCGGCTCCAAGAGGCCATCCTTGCGAAGATACCCGATCAGAGCATCCTGGCTTGGGGCCCGAACCAATACGACAAGCAGCTCACGCTCGGCAGGCCCTCTTTACGCTCCCCCTCGCCGAACGTATCCGTCAAACATAGCCCTCAGTCCTTCCTTCTAGCTCGGTCTCCCAAGGACTTCGCGAACTGCCACGAAACCGTCAACATCACCTCCGACATGCTCGCCCGCGCTCTCGACTGGCCCAACATCCCGTACGCTCGCTTCACGGTGACTGCGAACGGCATCTACGTCAAACTCCCTCTCATACCCTGCTACGATCCCTCGGGGGCTCAGCATCGTCTCGCCATCCTCACCTGCCAGGTGCCTTTACCGCGCGAGGACGACGGTCAGCATCGCCCGCAGCAAGTCGTATGCTTGGTTCTCCGTTCGCATGGCGAAGCGCGATCAAGCAAGAGCACGGAGATGTTCGTAGGGCTCGCGTCCATGGCTGACAGGCTGCAGATCGACGCCCGGATTCCCATCAGAGCCGCGCTCGACAACATGGCGAGCTACTTCCGCCTGGCGACGCTTCCTCTCGAAAGCCTCAAAGACTGCAAGGATAATGCTAAGGTCGAGCCCATCTACATCCACCATCTCCTTTCGGCCGGCCACCAGAACCAGGACGGCCCCGAGTCCGCCTTCCTACTCCAGGCGCTTGCACGAGATGGCTCGGACGATCCCAACTTTGAGCTGACGAAATGGTGCTCGGACGTTCTCAAGAAGCAGGACTTCACCGTCAGCCGAAGCGCTCAGACGATCACGATTACCGACACCGCTTCGGGGGTGGTCCAGCTCACGATCGTGGTCACCCGCTGCGACTGCGCGGGCCGTCGGTACTGCATCCTTCCCCGCTCCAACGGCAGCGACCCAGTGTCCCCGCCGCAGCACTGGTCCTGGGATACCGCCGCAGATTACGGCGATGCCGGCTCGCGCACGAACTCGAACTGCTCCAGCTACCACATCTACTCGTGGGACATCAAGGACGGCGTCGCGCACCGCTCGTTCAAACCCCCGAGCCGACGGTCTGCCGGCGCGATCGAGCACGTCAGCATCCGCGTCAAGCATGTCCCGCAGTCGGGACGCTTCGTCGTCGACCTCAAGCTCGTCCGGTTTCGGCCTGACGATTCGGCGTCCCAGTCGACGCGACCCGCGGAGGACTTCCCGCCCTGGCCGCCAGCGGCGCCCTCGTCCTCGTCTGCCTCGGAAAGGCCTCCTCCTTCCCGTGGCCGTACGATCCTCCACATCGAGACGCAGGAGCCCCCGAAGAGGCCCGAAAGCGGCCGCTCGCACTCGCTGGCACCAGCGGCTATGATGGTGCGGCCCTCGGGAGTCATCGGTCGCCGGTGAAGCGGGAACACCAACAATCCTTTGCGCTTCCATATTCTTCACATCAGCAGTCGCGGCCCCACTCTAAATGGATTCGTGAGTCTTCGATCCGCTCGAAGTAAGCGTGGAAGCTCACTGTCCAGTAGCGCCCAACAGTATGTCTCCCATCGCCGACGAGCCCGAGACTTCCGACGAACTAAGTCCTCGAACGCCAACCGCGGGAGTCGGCCCGGATGCGGGAGAGTCTAGGTATGAACTCGCGTGCTGTTGGACACACCTGGTTCTTACGTCCCTACGCAGAACGCCCTCGTGGACCGAGCTGGAAGTTTCCGGTTTGCCTCCGGAGCGCGGAGCGCTACCCGTGGTGCCCATGCCACCATCGAAGATTCGTAAGAACAGCGAGCACAAGAAGCGTCGCACTGCTAGCGATGCTGCACGTCGAGGTGAGTATGGGATTAAGTACCTCCGCGCTTCCCATCGTTCAAATCTCAGTATAAGTATCAGGTGACTCCGAGAAGCCCTCGACTCTTCACGCTGTTCAAGAGTCCCCCGACGCATCTCCCGTAAAGCAGCCCGTGGTGCCGACCAACGCAGAAATGCATAATTCTGCCGATATTAGACCGTTTGAATGGATGATGGCGGCGATGATGGTATTTATGGCGATGATGATGACGCTCCTTGTATTACGTGCTCCACCCGCACGCTAGCCATGTACCCTGATATATTTTCATGCCAGTCTCACGAACGACTTATGACGAAAGCGCTTCTTACGGCGTCCGTAACGCGAGGGACTGTATGGAGGAGGGCACGTGGTCCCTTTTTTCAGCGCAGTAGTTAGAGTAGTCGGTCGTTGGCCGAAGGTCGTCGCGGCAGTCGTACAGAACGTAAAGCAATGGAACGATTGAAGTCGCGGCCACGTATATCGGTAGTACTGATCGACACCTGTGCATCGTCATTGTCATCCACAAGCACTCGGCGAGTCAAATTAGGGAACGTACCACCACTACAGTCTTCTGTGCGAGTTTACAGACCCCTAAACTCGTACGCGTCCATCTTTCCGACAGCATCCTTACCGCCGAGTCGGCCAACTCTCATGAAATCGCAAGAGGGCGTACAGAGCTATAAGGCCAAGCCGAAAACCTCCAGTCACGAATCGCGACGGACGTCCCAAGGAAGGCGGTCACCAACCACTCCTCCTACAAAGCGTACTGAGGCGGCGGTTCAAGCCTCTGCTCGCGGAGCTCGCCCATAACCGCCCGCAGGTGCTCGACCTCCTCCCGCAGGTCCAACATCATCCCACCGGTCGTCGCCGACTGGCCGTCCTCCCAATCGCTCCCTACATGCGGTGTCAGCCGACCGCCGTCCGACGACATCGGGTTGGGGTCGAGGCTGTCGGCGGCGGTGGCGTCGTGGTGCCGCGCCTGGTTCGTCGCGGCTTCGCGTGCTTTCGAGGATTGTGGGCCGACCGCGGGCGTGGGCGCGGGGCGGCGGTTCGGCGCGAGCGGTGCGGGCGAGGCCTCTGAGACTTCGAGGACGTACGGGGAGATCCAGTGCGCGCTGTGGGGCGAGTGTGCGGGAGTGTGTAGGAGCAGCTGCGACTCCGAGAATGGGGGCGCAGCGCGGTCGTACGGGTTTGCGACGACGTCGGAGGAGGCGCGTCGCAGCCGTTGGAAGTACCAGAAGGCTACGCCCGCGATGACAAGGATAGCGACACCGCCGACGACACCGCCGACGATGGGGCCAACGTTGGACGTCTTGGGATTGTTGTTGTTCTCGCCGTTCGGATTTCCATTGCCAGTCCCAGTGGGGGTGGAGTCCGTGGTTCCGGCGGAGCCGTTGAACGGCACGTTGATGGAAGAGCTGTTCATCACGTTCAGGGCTAGATGTGCGTACATTGCGCCCAGTCCAGGCCTGAGTTGAGGTCAATACATTTCGCGCGCGCAGAAGGCCAGTCACATACCCTGCCGCGCCAGTACCACTGGCCCCGTCGCGCACTGGTAGTCGTCGGGCATCGCACCCTGAACGCCGTTGTAGGAGGCCCGATCCATGCCCCGGACATCATGGAGTCTCTGATCGATGTGTCGTTTTCGGAGAGAGTCGCGCTCGTGAACAAGAGCCAGGCTAGAAGACTGATTAGAAAAAAGCGCAGCAGGGGAAAATAATATAAACGTACACAAGCTGCATGCACTGTTTGACGTCGAAGTGATAGGGAGTCCGTAGATCCCAGCTGACGGAACAGTGTTCAGAAATGATTCGTGCAGGGAAACAGCAGAAGGCTCACCGTCGTTCTGAAGCAGCGATTTGTAGTACTGTGTCTGGCTGGCAAGAAGCTGTGGAGGTTGAGCTACAGGGATGTTCGGGAAACGCGGGAGCGGTACTGACCGATTGCGGAACGAGGCCGTCCCAAGCAGCACGTCGGGGTAAAGGTTGTACATGAGCGCCCATGAGTGGAGCTCCCGTACTGTCCGAGAATGTGCTTGCTGGAGTCGCTAGATGTCGCGAGGGACATCCACGTCTGTAACATCGCTGTTGCGTTGCTCTGTAAAATGCCGGTGAGCGAGCAAGCAACCAGTGGAGGTGAGGAGAGAGACGTACGTCGTACATGTTTGCGTCGTCGACCGCGCCGAACACGCGACTAATCTCAGCCATGGCCTTTACTGCGATGATACCCTTGATCGCGAGGTTCGTCATGTTGGCTGCTATCATGCCGTCGGCAGACACTCTGAGTAGCGAGTGGTCAGTCACCTCTGTCGCCGCGCAGACAGAGATAACGCACTGGTTGGGTATGAGGACGGCATTGTTGTTCGACACAAGGTAGTCAGCCCACTTCTTGGCAAGATGGTACTGTACAGACGTGTGGCGTTAGCGCGATGAGCACCTAGGGAATGCTGAACGTACGTTCTGCGCGAGCAGCGTGCCATCGCCAGAAGCCTTGGCGTGCGCGTACATCATGATCAACATATTTCCGGTCTCTGCAGACATATAAAGTCAGATGGAGTCGAGCGAGGAACGGTGTCGGTCACACCTTCCACGCCTTCGGACTGTCCTCCTCGACCTCCCGAAGCGATGGGGTACTGCAAACCTGTGCACATCAATCGGTTTGAGTCCACTACAGTTCAACGGTGAAATTGCGTACCGAGATCTTGCACTGCATAAGGAAGCGCCAGTTGCGATTGCGACTGCAGCAGCGGGCGCAATATGGCCCCAGCGAGCGACGCGTTCAGATACAGGAACGCCGGAAACGAGGCGTACATGCGCTCAACAGGGTTGATGCGCCTGAAAGAATTGACGTTCACAGGATGAACAAGATGATCCAATCGAGAGGCGAAAAGGAACTACGTACGACGAGGTGCCGATGTCGCGCATGAAGACCATCACGTCCGACGCATTCACGCTACCGTCTGCATTCGAGAAACAGTAATGTCGATAGTTGCAAGCACCGGACGCGTGCTGAGCGAGACCAAGTCGACGTATTCGGACGAGATCTTGCCCGCGTCTCCCGTGATCTTGTTGTCTAGCGCAATCGCGCGCGCCAGAGCATCCGAATAGCCGGTGGTGAACGCGTCGATCTGAACGGATCACATCAGCAGGGCAGTGGGTGTGATTGTGGCTCAGCACAGGGCGCGTACCACATCGGCGGCAGACGAGTATTGCGTGGCGTAGTAAGGGACTCGGTCTTGGGTCTCTCCGGTGGGTGTCACATACCGGATTGCCGGATTGCGGAGGTTCCCCACCACCCAGGACACAGGCTGCGAAGTCTTGCTGATTGTGCCCAGGTCGATGGCGAGGCCGAAGACGAGGAAGTCGCTGCAATGCAAAAGAGTTATTTGGAATGGCTCAATCACCATGCATGCAACTTACAGCCCGTGGGGTGGTTGCGTGTTCAGAACAGTGTTGGGCAGATGGCCGCTGGTATTGAAGTTGTTGCGGGCGTCCGGAGACTCGCCGACCTGCCACGAGAGGTTCGGTACCTGATAGTGGAGATAAGATCAAATGTCCGATGCGCTCGGAGACAGCGACTGTACGCACTGCTGCCGTCGCGTAGAACGCGCGCCCGTCCATTGCGCGGTCGCTGAGCTCTGTGAACGGTGCTGGGGTGATGAAGTCGACTTCGTGGTAGATGCTGCTGCTCGTGGTCACCGAGGTCCAGTTCACAGGGCTGGTCAGGTTGGGCGACAGCCATTCTTCAAACACAGCATATCAGCAAACATCCGTGTGGCGATGTCGAAGGGACGCACGGACGGCTGTGATATCGCTGTATACTTGCACGGTGTGGACCGCGTTGTCGTTCGCGGTCACCTCCAAGGCAACGTATGAGAGAGGAATGGACTGCTTAACCCAGTCGGAGGGCTTGCGAGGACGCGTAAGAAGAGTGAGACGTGTGAATGACGATAGCAGCGTACCTCGAGAGGGGATAGGAAAGTGATTGTGAGGGTCATCGGGCCCACCTGCATGGAGTAGATACTTCTTGTTGGGGTGACTTGCACAGCGGTGATGTTTGCCGTAGGTGGGATAAGGTCACCGCCCATCCAGTTGTACACCGTCCCGTCAATTCGAATCTTGCCTCTCCAGCCCAGGTCCGGAACCTGCCCTCCATGCTCGAGAAGACAATAGCTGCGAAAAAACAACGGGGCGTACCGTTTGAGACCAGAAGTTGGCCCACGAATTGGAGAGTGGTGCTGATCCATTCGTCGAGATCTGCCAGGCGTTGACATAGGGGGAGCGGACTGCAAGAGGGATGCTAGCAGGAGTGAAGGAAGCAGCGCGTACTTGAGAGCAAACCAAGAGGGGAAGGACGGCGAGAAGGAGAAGAGGCAGCATACTGAGCACAGCTTGCCCAGTAGCTGGAGGAGAGAAGGGATGTCGGCGTGAGCAGGAGATCCTCCTCACGGCACGGCATCTAAGTTCCAACTCTATTATGTCCGGAGCAACCGGAGTCTGGGTTTGATGTCGGATGTCAAGATCCTAGGAGGTTTGGGCTTGACCAGAGCGGACCAATCAAAGTAAAGCATGCCGGCTATGAGGCACTTGGTACGCCTTCAAGTTGGTCGACGTTGACGTATTCTTTCTAGGACGAAGACCTTAGCCAGTGCAAGGACGAGAGAAGGGTGGAGACGACGCGCCTGCAAAACTTTACAACATCGTCACTGGCGCATGACTGATGCGGCTCTCTCACAGCTGTCACATTAAGTTCATGATGGCACTGCTTTGCTTTTGCTCAAGTGCCGGTAGCCACACAATTGGCAGATGAATCACCGGCGCAGGTGCCTAACTATGTACGCGGTGCGGACTCGGATCTCTCGGTGGGGACGCGCGATATGGCAGGGAAGCCGACCATTGAATATCGAATATTGTATGGGGTTTTCAGGCCACGATCGGGAGAGGTCGGGAGGTGATGGCGTCGCGCCTGGTCTCCTCTGGGCACCTGGGACAGGCGAATGGACGGGGGATGTGTGGTAGATGGTGGTGGATAAGAAGGAGCAAACGCGTAGCGTACAATTAGTAATACAGGCGGTGGCGAGCACGATCGGTACACGGTTACCTAAGCGAGCGGCCCGAGGTTGCACATTTGGCGCCCAAGTTCCAACTTCAACATACTTATTGGTATACACTGTACATTTGGATGGGATAAGATCAGAGAAAGTAGAGCCTAGTGAAGACAAGGATCGAGAACGTACCCGCTGCGGGAATCTGACACAGAGGCGAGACGTAGTGAGAAGTTCGAGTCAAAAGCACCCGGATCCAACCCGGATCCGTGTCCGCCCCACCATCTGGCGCCTGTGACACACGGCCGTACACTCAACTCAAGTACTGAGCAACGTCAGCGTTAACGACAGCCGCTCTGATTCCTACTAACGCTGCCACAAAGCACTGAGGGTATGTCATCGATATTTTCCCTTTTCTTAAAAAGTCGGGGCACATGGACGCGGCAAACGATGTACCCTAGCCTTGGTTGTCGGGCACAACTTTGGAACCAGGATAAATGACCTCACTTTTATCCTTTGTCTACCGCTATATCTACAACACTGTGAGTCCCACTTAATTCTTCCTTTTTTCCCTTCTGTTTCTCTCATCTAGTCATACCCTCACATCACTTCCCGCACCACTTCCTCGCGCCGCTGCGGAACAGCTGGAACCACGGCCCAACACCCTTCCACACCTCCGCCAGCTCTGGCGGATACCGGCTGTTGCTCTCCATCGTCACAACACGCTCCGTGTGCGGCAGGAGCGCGAGCACCCGCCCGTCAGCCGTCTACACGCCCGTGATGCTCCCATGGACTCCCGTTCAAGTTGAGCGGGTACGCCGTCGCCGCCGCGGCGCCCTTCCCATCGACGTACGTACCTCACCGCGACGAGCCCACCCGCCTCTAACGCAGCGCGCTGTCCCTCACGCGCGAACACCGCGCGGCCCTCCCCGTGCGCGACCGCGACAGGCAGGCGCGCGCCCGCTGACATATCGCGCAGGAAGACCGAACGTGTGGTCCGGGCCCGGAACGACCTCGACGACGGCGACGCGCGCCTCGAAGCGCTCGGAGCGGTTTGCGCGGAACGCAGGCCGGTCCGCCGCGCTGGGGATCACCCCGCGAGCGCGGCAAGGAGCTGGCAGCCGTTGCAGACCACGAGCGTGAAGGTGTCGGCGCGCGCGATCGAAGAAGGCGGAGAACGCAGCGCGCGCGGTCGCGTTGAGGAGCACGGAGGACGCCCAGCCGCGCGCCGCGCCGAGCACGTCGCCGTACGAGAAGCCGCCACAGGCCGTGAGCCTGCGGAAGGAGGAGAGCGAGACGGCGCCGGAGAGGATGTCAGACATGTGCACGTCGACGGCGTCGAAGGCCCAGGCCATCTCGATGTGCTCGTTCACGCTCTGCTCGCGCAGGATGGTGACATTGGGGCGGCGGAAGAGGCTCAAAGACTGGTGCGGGAGAAGGTCGGGTCGTCTAGTGGAGCCCGCGGTGGCCGGGGGATGATATGAGCGCGAACTCTTCTTTTGAACAGTCAGGGTTGTCGCGGTGGGATTTCATCTGGTAGGACGTTTCGGTCCATGTCGGCTGCAACTGCGCGCGGGTGCTGGAGAACACGTCGCCGGAAGACGTCGAGAACTTGACGGTCTCCTCGCGAGTCACGCTGCCCAGAACGTGGATGAAAGACGATGGGAAACCTTGCTGGACGAAGACTTCGGGCCTGTGTACGCTTGATGTCCTGTGCTTCCACCGCATCCGGGGCCTCCGAGCCGACCTGCTTGAACACCTGCTTGACCGCCGAGCCTCCAAGGCGCTGCTTCCCGCGCGCAAGGTCGAAGAACAGCAGCACCGTCGGCCCGTCCACGTCGGTGCGCAACTGCGGCCTCCACGTCTTCCCCACGTCCTCGAACGCCGCGAACGCCGCGACGATGAGCGACAGCGGCGCGCTCACCTCCTTCCGCGCCCCATCCCGCTCCTGCCACCGCATCGACATCGACATCGAGTCCTTCCCGACCAGGATCCCGACTCCGAGCGCCGGGCAGAGCTCCAGATCTCTATCGGGGACATGCTCGAGTCCGCGACGAGCACGTCCCGGATCTCGAATGCTGCCCCCAGCCCAGAGTTGTGCACGAGCTCCGGGAGCGCGTTCGAGAGCCCGCCCGCGGCGACGTCGTGGATGGACTCGATCGGGCTCGCATCGCAGAGCGCGACGCAAGCATCTCCGTGTTGTCCCGCTACACGCTCGCAAAGTCGAGCTCCGCCCACCCCGCGCTCGACAGCTGGCGGGCGGGCAGTGACTGGCTGCTCGCCGCGCCGCCACCCAGTCCGATTCGGAGGAGCCCTGGTACGCCGAGGATGACGATCTTCGGCCCTTTAGAGATCTTCGACTTGTGCGCGAATGCCGCGCGTGTTGGTTTCTAGTGTTCCGGTGTACGCCCTCATCCGAGGCACGACCAGTACGCTTAGTCATGTATACTACGTTCCCACGCATTTGTCGGAAAAACCGAATCGGGCTTGCAAGCGCTTGCAACGCCATTGCAATAGTCCCAAGATTGATCCGAATGGGAATGTTCCTGCCAGATGACTAGTTTCTCTGGCAAGGTCATCGCAAGACCGCGCGCTAAATGGCTGTTCCAAGCGTCCACCTTTCAATTCGGGCTCCGGTCTTGCAGCCCCATTCAGTCATCCTTTTTACTGATTCACACTTGTAATGGTCTCAAATAATGACATTTACTAAACTACCACACAAAGGTTGATATGATATACATCAGACGGTGTCAAACGTGATCCTGGCAAACCTAGTAGAGTATCCTGGAAGTCTAGGCGAGAGACCGAGCATGAACATGGGAAACGAAGACGACGGAATGGGAGGTTAGGTTAAGACGAGGTCATTAAGAAAAGAGAACGAGGCAGTGGAGAGCGATAAGAGCCCAGACCGACAGTGAACAGTCACCAGTGTGATATGAACGACACCAGGGAGTAACCAGGGAGGCCAAGAGAAACCGACACGGATGAAAAGCACAAGGGAAGGTTGCAGGGCAGAATTGATGTCGATACGAGGAGAGAGGCAGCGGAGGAGGGACAGAGGATAAGTGTGGACTCAACAGGCGGGCAAATGGCAACATCAGACGACGAGCGACATAATTCCCGGGGGCAGGTGTGGGGCACTGGCGGGGAATAAAGTGTTGTCGGCGGACGGCCAACGTTCGTAAGCGGTGAGAGGGGAGTTTGGAAGAGAGAGAGCATGGGAGGAGAGAGCAAGGGATACGACTCGGACTCAGACGCGAAGTTCAACTTTGAAATTCTGACAGGCGAAGGCACTTCAGGGCAGGTTGAGTTCAACTATAGCCGTGCCGTCGCAAGGGGATCGGTCTGATTGATATGGTGTCGCAGGATGTTCGCCATCTTGCAATCGATCCCAGTCGAACCTGGGCGTGGCAAGGTCGTTGCAATGCGCGATCAAGACCGTGGCCATGAATTGCCATATCGTTGCCAGATAGCCGCCTTGCAAGATGGAATTCCTTTTTCCGACCTTGTACAGTACTATGCCGCCGTATCGTCCTAGTAGATCGATCATATCCATTCTATCATCCTATCCACCATCGTCGTCCTATCCGACACCCTGTCCGTCATCCGGCGTCCTTTCGCCTCTACGGCTCTCTTCGTCCACTGCTCGATTCTTCACAGCGCGGACGTTCCCGAGTCCTCTGGCGAGCATGATCGGCTTGTGGTACCCGCGGACCTTCGCTGACACGTCCGGCGCTCGCTCCCGCAGCCTTGTCGCAGCTCAGCTCATTCGCCCTCTTGCACGCCTGCCGCGCTCAGAAACTTTGTCATCACTAGACATCTAGAAATTCTATGACATCGCGTGTGGAGGTACCAAAGGCCGACGTGGGTGCGTATAAAGCTCCTGGCATGACCTGACAGTAGCAGCAACTTCAACACAATCCACCCAACCACCCTCCAGCACCACTCAGCATGTCTACCGAGGCTTCCACCTCTGCACTTTTCAGCCCATTCGAATCTGCGACATCACTCTCGCCCATGGCGTGGTTCTCGCCCCCATAACGCGGTGCCGCAACGACGACGTCCACGTCCCCACTGACCTGATGGTCATAATGTACGAGCAGCGCGCTAGCGTCCCAGGCACGCTCCTCGTTATGGAGCCCGCTACTGTCCACGAGAAGGCAGGCGGGCAGCCGAACACCCCGGGTATCTACAACGACGCACAGGTTGCAGCGTGGAGAAAGGTGAGCACGTATTCCAGCGCTTCCAGTGAACGTTCGCTGATAATCAAAGCGCAGATCGTCGACGCAGTCCACGCCAAGGGCTCTCACATCTACCTACAGCCTTGGGCTCTCGGGCGCGCGGCGCGCCCAGAACTATTTAACAAGGAGTTCCCCAACTGCCCCTACGTTGCGCCTTCGCCGATCGCGCTCTAAGAGCACGCCGAGCACACCCCTCGCGCCTTTACTGTCGAAGGTACGCTCTCTCGCCAAGCCTGATATGGATCTCCCGTAGTTCTCATCATTCCACGCGAGGAGATCAAGTAGTGGGTCCAGTAGTAGTAGTACGGCCAGGCCGCGAAGAACACCGTCGAGGCGCACGGCGCGAACGGGTACCTTGTCGACCAGTTCCTCCAGGACGTCCCGAACACCCGCACGGACGAGTACGGTGGCTCGATTGAGAACCGTGCGCGCTTCGCTCGTCATGGACGCCATCGTTGGCGCCGTCGGTGACAGCAAAATGGCGATCCGTCTGAGCCCATGGAGCACACTTACCAGGACATGCGGATGGAGGACCCGGTACTGCAATTCACGTACCTCGTCGACCAGTTCAAGCAGCGCTTCCCAAAGTTGGCGTACCTCCATGTCGTCGCGCCCAAAACGCTGGCCCACGTAGGGCCGAAGGACCCTTCGGTGTGTGCTGCGGCGTTTCTGGCGATGGTACCGAGGCTGACAAGGCATGCAGCAAGCGAACTTCATTTACGACCTCTGGGCCCCCCGGCATGTGATCTCCACCGGTGGGTACGACCGCGAGTCTGGTGTGAAGACCGCGGAGGTCATCGGATACGGAATGATGTTCCTCGCGAACCCTGACCTGCCCTTCCGCCTGAAGAAGAACCTGGCGCTCAACGCTCTTCACTGCGAAGTCCGCGGAAGGTTACACAACGTACACGTTCTCGGAGGAGTTCTTGAAGACGCAGATTGGATGAGCTCGGGCGATGTAACTTACGGCGACAGGCTCTTGATGGTCGTGGGTTGACGGCATTATTGGCGCGTGTTGATTGATGAATGTTCTTGCGCTTTCTGGTCGTTGACGTGTTGTATACGGTCCACCTTCTTTCCCGCGCTTCCCGCGTTTCGCAAGGGTCCGTGTTCTCCGTGTAGCTCGGAGGCGTCAAAGGTGTCCTGTGCTCCAGGACAGGCGGATGGCAGGAAACCAATGGCATGTCTGTGTGCAACAGCAAAGTGCTTGTGTCAAAGGTGTAGGCACATTGGCTCAGCGGAGCCGTGTCCGACCCCGAAGTGCTGCGGCCACCGCCGCGGTGGTAAGTGGAGCAAGTGGGAAAACATCGATCAGAATATACGGATGGCACTCAGAGTAACTCAATCTGAGAGTCCACTTCAAAGGGCTCCTGCCGTTTGCTGGTCCCGTGGATTCTCCACATCAGCCGTCGCAGCCGCATTCTACATGGCTTCGTGAGTCTTCAATCTGTGCTCCAAGTGAGCGTGGAATCTCATAGTTCAGTAGCGCCGAACGATGACCAGCCGCTGTCTCCCATCTTCGACGAGCCCGAGACCTTCGATGGGCTAAGTCCTCGAACGCCTACCGTGGCGGTCAGCCCGGATACTGGAGAGTCTAGGTACGAACTCTCGTGTTATTAGGCATTTCTGGTTCTTACGTCACCACGCAGAACGGCCTCGTGAAGTTCCCTTTTTACCTCCGGATCGCGGAGCGCTACCCGTGGTGCCCATGCCACCATCGAAGATTCGTAAGAACAATGAGCCCAAGAAGCGTCTTACTGCCAATGATGCTGCAAGTCGAGGTGAGTATGGGATTAGGTACCTCCGCGCTGCCCATCGTTTAAAGCCGAGTATATCAGACCCCGAGAAGTCCTCCACTCTTCGACATGTTCAAGTGACTACCGACGCATCTCCCATAAAGCAGCCTGTAGTGCCGACCAATGCAGAAATGCCCCCCGTTCAAAATAGTTCCGCTGGTATGAGACCGTTTGATTGGATGATGGCGGCGATGATGATGTTTATAGCGGTGCTCCTTGTACTACGTGCTCCGCCCCACCTGGACCTCACATCAATCAGGTCCCCTTAGCCTGGGGCACGGGGGGGGATGGCCCGGGCTAAGGAGACCTGAATCCGTGCTCCCGCGCATGTTTGAATAATGTCCTCAATAAACCCGAGGCAGTTTCCCTGAAGGGAAGTATTCGAACGCCCTCCCTTCCAAGTCCCCCAGCCCATCACGTGTCCCCATCCTTCAGATCTCCCATCAGTCCGCGTTATCTCTCCCGCCCCCGCACGCGTTATCTCCCGCGCCCGCGCCCACGTTATCTCCCGCGTCGGCGCCGCGCGCCTCCCTGCCCCGCCACCCGTGCTCGCTGTGCCCGACAGTGAGCTCGCTGTCCCTGCACCCTGCCTCCCCCTCCGCTCCGTTTCCCTCCGTTCTTTTTGTAATCTACTTGCATTCACAATGCGCACCTAATGGTACACAATTCAATGGCCACACCTTCCTGGGTGTGCCTGCACTGAGCCCTCAAACCTCCCAAAATGCGTGCAATACAGGAACATATACAAGCACTCAAATGATCGGCTAAGTGCTGCATCAGATAGTTGTAGATGAGAGCTACTCTATCATAAAATCGCAGTTGGATAGCTAGAGGGGTGCAGGTATGATGTCATATGTTATTTCAGAATGACATACCCCACAGTGATATGGTATATGCATATATCGTCTTATGTACACCCCGAATCGTACCTAGAGGTCATTCAGAGCGCGTTGCAAAAAGAAGCAAGCGAATAAACGATGTCGTGGTGAGGATATGACATATGCACAGAAGGGGGAGTTGGCTCGAAAATGCGGCCTTCATATGTTTTTGTGTAGACCTCTGATCACTTCGCATCTTGTTGCATTACGTTTATATGTATATGGAGAGCTCAGATCGTCAGTTTTATGCTTATCGGTGAAGGATTGAATACAGGCCATGATATGTCATTATTCTATGACATAGAGTATAGCGAGATAGCATGCGCTCCGATTGTTGTTCTGAAAGGCGGAACAGAACGGGGTGTTCTTCTGCTCAACGATGCAGAAAGAATATTGAAGAATGGTCGAGAAGTGGTTGAGATATGCCATATGAGCTTGAAGTGTGCAAAGTAGTGTAGGTGGTTCAAGGGCGTCCTTTGTGCAACCTGCCGTTCTAGACCCATCTGACATATCTCAACCACTTCTCGACCATTCTTCAATATTCTTTCTGCATCGTTGAGCAGAAGAACACCCCGTTCTGTTCCGCCTTTCAGAACAACAATCGGAGCGCATGCTATCTCGCTATACTCTATGTCATAGAATAATGACATATCATGGCCTGTATTCAATCCTTCACCGATAAGCATAAAACTGACGATCTGAGCTCTCCATATACATATAAACGTAATGCAACAAGATGCGAAGTGATCAGAGGTCTACACAAAAACATATGAAGGCCGCATTTTCGAGCCAACTCCCCCTTCTGTGCATATGTCATATCCTCACCACGACATCGTTTATTCGCTTGCTTCTTTTTGCAACGCGCTCTGAATGACCTCTAGGTACGATTCGGGGTGTACATAAGACGATATATGCATATACCATATCACTGTGGGGTATGTCATTCTGAAATAACATATGACATCATACCTGCACCCCTCTAGCTATCCAACTGCGATTTTATGATAGAGTAGCTCTCATCTACAACTATCTGATGCAGCACTTAGCCGATCATTTGAGTGCTTGTATATGTTCCTGTATTGCACGCATTTTGGGAGGTTTGAGGGCTCAGTGCAGGCACACCCAGGAAGGTGTGGCCATTGAATTGTGTACCATTAGGTGCGCATTGTGAATGCAAGTAGATTACAAAAAGAACGGAGGGAAACGGAGCGGAGGGGGAGGCAGGGTGCAGGGACAGCGAGCTCACTGTCGGGCACAGCGAGCACGGGTGGCGGGGCAGGGAGGCGCGCGGCGCCGACGCGGGAGATAACGTGGGCGCGGGCGCGGGAGATAACGCGTGCGGGGGCGGGAGAGATAACGCGGACTGATGGGAGATCTGAAGGATGGGGACACGTGATGGGCTGGGGGACTTGGAAGGGAGGGCGTTCGAATACTTCCCTTCAGGGAAACTGCCTCGGGTTTATTGAGGACATTATTCAAACATGCGCGGGAGCACGGATTCAGGTCTCCTTAGCCCGGGCCATCCCCCCCCCGTGCCCCAGGCTAAGGGGACCTGATTGATGTGAGGTCCAGGTGCTCCGCCCATGGTACACTAGCCATGACTATGCCATTCTCACGAACGAGTTACGACTGTAGCGCTTCTTACGGCGTTCGTCACGTGAGGGACTGCATCAAGCAGGGGTAGTACGTGACGTATCCCTTTTCTCAGTAGTCGGGGTCGTTGGCCGGAATGGATCTAGCCATTGGCGTCAGATGTCCGCATGGACTAGTGAGCCACTCGGGAACCGACAAAGAGCTTTGAATATGTCCAGACAAACTTTACGCGTTACGGATGATACCAGGAATCAACTGCAGATGGTGACTGTCAGCGCCTTTACGTCAAGACCACAACTTCTGACCAAGTACTTATTACTTACTAGCGCAGCGCTTGATCAGGTCGATCGAGAACCGTGCGTGGTTCTTTCTGAAGGTTATGGACGCCATCGTTGGCGCCGTCGGAGCAAAGTGGCAATCCTCCTGAGCGCATGGGTCACATATCAGGACATGAGTCACGTACCTCGGCGCCCAGTTCAAGCAGCGCTTCCCGCAGTTAGCGTACCTCTATGTCGTCGCGCCCACCGCGCTGGCTGACGTAGGCCCGAAGGACGTGGAAGAGAACTTCATTTATGACCTCTGGGTGCCCTGATCTCCACCGGTGGTCGCGACTCTGGGGTGAAGACCACGGAGGAGAGATGGGACAGATCATCGGATACTTACGAGATGGCTTTCCTCGCGAACTCTGATACGCTCTTCCGCCTGAAGAAGAACCTGGCGCTCAATGCACCGAACTGCAGCAGGCTCTTGACGGCGAAGACCGCGGAAGGTTACACAACGTACCCGTTCTCGGAGGGGATCTTGAAGACGCAGATTGAATGAACTCGAGTGATATAGCTTACAGCGACCCTTCCGATCGTCGTGCATTGACGGCATTATTGGCGCGTGTTGGTTGAGGAATGTTGCGCTTTCTGGTGTCGAAATTGCGTGCAGGGTCGTTGAGATCTGAGACGTTGACTACGGTCTAGACAATCTAACCTTCTTTCCTGCACGGTGCCGACAGACGTCTGACAAGCATCCGTGTTCTCCGGGCGCTTGGACGAGCGTTGAGAGCCGGGAGTTGCCGGCCCCTGGAAACTCCGCCCAAATCGGCTGTGCCAATTTTCGGGCGAGTGGAGCTGTTTCCCATCTGTCCTCGGTGGCAGGACGATGTGGCATGTGCAGGTACTACTCCGGATTGGCTCAGCGGAGCCGCGTCCGACCCCGAAGTGCTGCGGCCGCCGGCGTCGGTCCTGACCTGTGCTGCTTCCCTGGCAGTAGTCGCCGTCCTATGTAAGAGCTGAGATGACGTGCGTGAGCCACGCGCATAGCCAGGCCCACTCCGTTCACCCAACCTTGGCCGCCGTCCTATCCTCGTACGCGTCTCGCTCGTCGTCACAAACTGTCTCTGCTGACACACCCCTTTGCGGCTCAGTAGCACGACAAAATGCGCCTCCTTGCCACCGACACCGGGCTCATGTCCGAGTTCGCGGACCCGACCGAAGTCAAGTACGCCATCCTCTCCCACGTTTGGGCCAGGAAGACAAGCGACAACGACACGTCCTACGAGCCAGAACTCACCTATGACGACTACACCCGCCTTCGCGCCGAGCATGGCGACGAACTCCTCTTCGACAAACTCCCTCCGAAAGTACGACACTCTTGCGAAGTCGCCAAACGCCACGGCATCTCCTTCATCTGGATCGACACCTGCTGTATCAACAAGTCAAACAGCTCCGAGCTTTCGGAGGCGATCAACTCCATGTATCGGTGGTACAGCCTCGCCCAAGTCTGCTACGCCTATCTCTACGACGTGGGCCACGCCAAGACCAAGTTCCACGACAGCGAATGGTTCAAACGCGGATGGACGCTGCAAGAACTCATTGCGCCCCCCGAAGTCCTCTTCTTTGACAGCGACTGGAAGATCATCGGCTCGCGCTACGAGCTCTCGGACGAAATCCGGTCTATCACCAACATAGACCGCGCGGTCCTCCGGAAGGAGCGCCAGATCTCTGACGTCTGCGTCGCTCAGCGCATGTCTTGGGCGGCATCCCGGAAGACGACACGCGAGGAGGACATGGCGTACTGCTTGATAGGGATCTTCGATGTCCATCTTCCCCCCTCTACGGCGAGCGCGACTACGCCTTCATCCGGCTCCAAGAGGCCATCCTCGCGAAGATACCCGATCAGAGCATCCTGGCTTGGGGTCCGAACCAATACGACAAGGGGCTCACGCTCAAAAGGCCCTCCTTATGCGCTCCTTCGCCGAATGTGTCTGTCAGGCATAGCCGTCAGTCCTTCCTCCTCGCTCGATCTCCCGCGGACTTCGCGAACTGCCACGAAACCGTCAACATCACTTCCGACACGCTCGCCCACGCTCTCGGCTGGCCCAATGGCATTCCCTACGCTCGCTTCACAGTGACCGCGAACGGAATCCACGGCCACCTCCCTCTGATACCCTGCTACGATCGCTCGGGAGCCCAGCATTGTCTCGCCATCCTCACCTGCCGGGTGCCTCTACCGCGGAGAAAAGAAAGCCAGGGGCGCCCACAGGAAGTCTTATGCTTGGTTCTCCGTTCGCATGGCGAAGCGCGATCGAGCAAGAGCACGGAGATGTTTGTAGGACTCGTGTCCATGGCTGAGAGGTGGCAGATGGACGACCGGGTTCCCATGAAGGCCGCGCTCGACAACATGGCGAGCTATTTCCGCCTGGCAACGCTTCCTCTTGAAAGCCTCAAAAAGTTTCGCGATGACGCTAAGGTCGAGTCCATCTACATCCACCATCTCCTATCCGCCGGTCACCACGATCAGGACGGCCCCGAGTCCGCCTTCCTCATCCAGACGCTTGCACGAGAAGGCTCGGACGATCCCAAGTTCGAGCTGACCACATGGTGCTCGGAGGTTCTCAACAAGCAGGGCTTCGCCGTCAGACAACATCGCGCTAAGAAGATCACGATTTCCGACGAGACGTCGAAGCCGGAAGAGCTCACCAAGCACGGCTTCGCCGTCAGCCTCCGACCTGACGCTGGGCAGACGGCCACGATTTCCGACGACGCGTCGAAGCCGGACGAGCTCACCATCGAGCTCACCCGCTGCGACTCCTGCGCGAGCCATCGGTACTGCATCCTTCCCCGCTCCAACAGCAGCGACCCAGTGTCTCCGCCGCAGTACTGGTCCTGGGATACCGCCGCAGATTACGGCGATGCCGGCTCGCGCACGAACTCGAACTGCTCCAGCTACCACATCTACTCGTGGGGCATCAAGGACGGCGTCGCGCACCGCTCGTTCAAGCCCCCGAGCCGACGGTCCGCCGGCGGGATCGAGCACATCAGCATCTGGATCAAGCACGTCCCGCATCTCGATCGCTTCGTCGTTGACCTCAAGGTTGTCCGGTTCCGGCCTGACGAGTCGGCGTCCCAGCCAACGCGACCCGCGGAGGACTTCCCGCTCTGGCCGCCGGCGGCGCCTTCGTCCTCGCCTGCCTCGGAAAGACCTCCTGCCCGGGGCCGCACCCTCCTCTACGTCGACACGCGCGAGCCCCCGAGGAAGCCCGGAGGTGGCCGCTCGCACTCGTTGGCGCCAGCAGCGATGATCCCGCGCCCCTCGGGGAGTCAACGGTCGCTGCCGAAGCGGGAACGCCCGCAATCCGCTGCGCTGCAATCTTCTTCACATCAGCCGTCGCGGTGGCTTTGTAAGTCCTCAATCCGCGCTCCGAGTAAGCGTGGAAGCTCACTGTCCAGTAGCGCCGAACTTTGATGACCAGCTGTCTCCCGTCGTCGACGAGCCGGAGACCTCCACTGAACTAAGTCCTCGAACGCCAGCCACGGGGGCCATCCCGGATACGAGAGAGTCTAGGTATGAACTCGCGTGCTATTGGGCGTGCCTGGGTTTTACATCCCTACGCAGAACGGCTTCGTGGACTGAGCTTGCAGTTTCCGGTTTGCCTCCGGATCGCGGAGCGCTACCCGTGGTGAGTATATCACCGCCGAAGGTTGGTGCGAAGAACAACGAACTCAAGCAGCGTCGCACTGCCAATGATGCTGCAAGTCGAGGTGAGTATGGGATTCAGTACCTCCGCACTCTCCATCGTTTAAAGCTGAGTATATCAGACCCCGAGAAGCCCTCGACTCTTCGACCTACTCGAGAGACTCCCGACGTAAAGCAGCCAGCAGTGCCGATTGGCAACGCAGACATGCACCCCGTTCAAAACAGTTCCGCTGGTATTAGACCGTTTGATTGGATGATGGCGGTGATGATGATATCTACGGTGACGCTTCTTGTACTACGTCCTCCGTCCGTACACTAGCCATGACCCTATACTTGTTTTCATGCCATTCCAACGAACGCGTTACGACTAAATATTTATTACGGCGTCCGTAACGCGAGGAGCTGCATAGAGGAGGGGTACGGGACGTGTCCCTTTTCTCAGCGCTGTAGTTAGAGTAGTCGGAGTCGTTGGCGCCTACGTATACCATCAGTACTACTGATTGACACCTGTGCATCGCCGTCGTCATCCACATGCACTCGGCGAGTCAAATACTACCACTGCAGTCCTCTGTGTGGGTTCACAGACCCCTCAACTCGCACGTGCCCACACTCTCCGACAATCTCCTCACCGCCTCGGCCAACTCTCTGTCTTCCTCCGAGAGCGCGTTCGTCCCTCCCACGAACGGAAACACGTTTACCTCACACGTCGCCCCTGGTTCCTCTGGCAGAACCCCCTCGTCAAAGTACCGCCTTACCACCTTCGCCGCGCATACCGACGGGCTGCTCGTTGAACAGTGCCCCGCGCTCTCCTGCACCAGTTAACAGCCCCGCGCCCCCGAAGCGCGCCCTCGTCTGTTGGAATCTGCTCACGTGTATGGCAAGCTCGGTCGTACCTTACTTGTGCTTAGCCATCGTGTAGATAGCCATCGTCCCTCGTCCCGCACTCGCCTCACGCGTTTGCCCTTCACCACCACCTCGTTCTCTCCCGCGTCCGTCTGTACTCGCCTCCCGGTGCCCATAGGGACCAACCGCGTCGTATCGATTGCCTTTACCCCCTCGTCCGACCTCGACCGAGCCGCCGACTTCTAACATCGTCCTCTTCGCCTGCGCGGGCGGCGTTACCGGTTTGAACCCGCTCGACAGCAACAGCAGCGGGTGCGCGGCGCGCTCCGCCGCGACCGGCGCCGTCAGTCTCTCCCTTCGCGCACAGCGACCACGCCGCGCACTGGACCCACGACGTGCCCCACACGGGTGCGAGCAGCGGCGGGGTCTCGACGAGGGCGTCCCAAACGCGCGCGGACGCGGTCGCGTTGTGCTCACGCGTGCGCGTCCCCGTCCGCGCACTCCACCAGACTCCACCGCCCAGCGCGCCTTGTTCGCCGCCGCGGCCGCCGCGGCGCACTCGCACGCGGTCAGGGAGACCGGCGACCGAGGGCGCGAGGGCGCGGAGCGCGGTGGCGTTCCCGGTCTCGAATGCGCGGTAGGTGTCGGCGACGACGGGGAAGGTGTATGTTGGGCGGTGATTCGCCTCGAAGAGCTGTTCGGCGAGCGCCTTGCGGGCAACGGTGGTGGGTCCGCGAGGGGGATGGCGACGGGCGAGGCGGTCACGGCGTCCAGGATGGCGTAGAAGCGGTCGCGAATCTTGGCGGGCGTGCTCTCGTAGAGAACGCACTTGTTCGCGCCCGCGGCGTGGCACTGGAAGGCGAAGAACGTGTCCGCGACGTTCTGGACGTCTTCGATGGCGGCCTCGTAGCGCATGCGGCGTTAGCTGTGGCCGTCGATCACGCCCGAATCGAGAATGATACGCTTTACGTTTTCCGGGAACATCGCCGCAAAGTATTGTCCCAGCGTGGTGCCGCAGCTCTGAGGTGAGTTATGTGCTAGTAACTCCAGTGACGACCAAAACGCACGCACGAAGCCCAGTATTGCAACCTATGTCCGTCCGTCCAGATCACTGCTTATGTATTACTGTGGATGGCTTCCCACTGCGGTACGTCGCATGTATTACTGGTGCGGTGCATGGTCAGCCGGTCATGGCTCGATCGAGAACCGTGGCACGGTTCACTCTCGTGGCCGAGGTTATGGACGCGGTCGTTGGTGCCATTGGTATGTACAGTCAAACCCCTCATAGTGCATACCAGTGATAGTGCATACCCCCACAGAGTGCATACCTTTGGCCTCTTCCCGGGTTGGTATAGGGGCATAACGCATACCCCCCGCATACCGCATACTGCATATGTCCATAACGCATACCTGTGTATATAATCAGTATTAGCGCCCCACATGTGTGCCTTGCATGCCGCCCAAATGCGGGATAACTTTCCCGTGTGCCCTCCCAGCAGCCTGGAATAGCCACATATGTCACAAACCATCGAGTTTGGCCGGGGCTCACGCACGACTTGCTCACACCCCCGGCCACCTCTGCCTGCCTCCGCAATGTATCCCTCTCGCCCGGCCTTGCTGTCCTCGAGAAGCAGGTGAAAGAGCGCCGAACGGCCCTTCAAGCTTCTCTTCAAGGTGGGAAAAACATCTCGCAGTCACTGATTACTTTAATCGTATGTAGGCTATGTAGGGGGGCGAGGTCAGATAACAAACGGGAAGAATGTGCGCGGGAGGAATGTGCGCGGGAGGAATGTGTGCGGGAGGAACGTGCGCGGGAGGAATGCGCGCGGGAGGATTGATACGCACGCCAGCGGCCAAAAGGCGCGCTGCAGAAGGGCGTCAATGGATCTCCCACGATGAGCGCTTCTCTCATGCTGCATACCCCCACATAACGCATACCTCGGGGGCCTTCCCGAGAGAGAGAGAGATATCGAGGGGTATGAGGGGTTTGACTGTAAAAGCAAAGCGGCGATCCGCCTGAGCTCATGAGGCCTTGAGGACCGGCCGCCCCGGGCCGCAGTTCACGTACCTCGTCGACCAATTCAAACAACTGTCAACGCTTCCCGAATTGGCCTACCTCCATGTCGTCACATCCAGCGCGCTGGCTAACGTAGGGCCGACTCATGGACCCTTGGGTGCGTAGTGCGGCTTTTCCAGCGGTGATGGTATCGAGGCTGACGAGGCATGCAGCAAGCGAACTTCAACATCTATGACCTCTAGGCGCGCGCGCCGGCATATGGTCTCCACCGGATTGCGACGCGAGTCTAGTGTGAAAACCGGGGGAAAAGGGCAGACCATCAGATGCGGGACAGTGTCGTTTTCGCAAACCCTGAGCTGCCCTTCCGCCAGAAGAGAAAGGTGGCGGTCAATGCACCGGACTACAGCACGCTCTTCACGGCGAAGACCGCGGAAGGTTAGACAACGTACCCGTTCTCAGAGCGGTTCTTGAAGACGCAGACTGGATGAGCTCGAGTGATATAGCTTATGGCAGCGACCCTTCCGATGATCGTGGTGCATTGACGGCATTATGTAAATATGTATTGGCGCGTGTTGATTCAGGAATATCGCGCTTTTTGGTGTCGAAATTGCGTGCAGGGTCACTGAGGGTCACTGAGATCTGAGACGCGGACTACGGTCTAGACGATCTAACCTTCTTTCCTGCGCGGTGCCGACAGACGTCTCCGTGTTCTCCGTTTGGCTGGGTGAGGGCGCTTGGACGAACGTTGAGAGCGACCGGGAGTTGCCGGACCTTGGAAACTCGGCCCAAATCGGCTGTGCTAATTTTCGCGCGAGTGGAGCGGTTGTCCGAAGCCTGCCAGTGTGGCATGGGCGCGCACTCAGGAGGAGGAGGAGGATTGGCTCAGCGGAGCCGTGTCCGACTCCGAAGTGTTGCGGCCACCAGGGTCGGTCATGACCTGTGCTACTTCCCTGACATTGAACAGTATCAAGATCTGAGATGACGTCGGAGAAGACGGCGCATGGCCAGGGTAACTCCTTTCACCGTCGTACACTGGCCCGCATCCTGCCCTGGCCCGCTCGCCCTCATAAACGGTATCCCCTTCTTCTCTGCCGACACACCCTTTGCAGCCCAGTAGCGCGACAAAATGCGCCTCCTTGCCACCGACACCGGCCTCATGTCCGAGTTCGCGGACCCAACCGAAGTCAAGTACGCCATCCTCTCTCACGTTTGGGCCCGGAAGACGAGCGACAACGACACATCCTACGAGCCAGAACTCACCTATGACGACTACACCCGCCTTCGCACCGAGCATGGCGACGACCTCCTCTTCGACAAACTCCCTCCGAAAGTACGACACTCTTGTGAGGTCGCCAAAGGCCACGGTATCCCCTTCGTCTGGATCGACACCTGCTGCATCAACAAGTCAAGTAGTTCCGAGCTCTCAGAGGCGATCAACTCCATGTACCGGTGGTACAGCCTCGCGCAAGTCTGCTACGCCTATCTCTACGACGTCGACCACGTCACCTCAACCAACTTCCACGACAGCGAATGGTTCAAACGCGGGTGGACGCTGCAAGAGCTCATTGCGCCCCCAGAAGTCCTCTTCTTCGACGGCGACTGGCAGATGATCGGCTCGCGCTATGAGCTCTCGGACGAAATCCGGTCTATCACCAACATAGACCGGGCAGTCCTCCGCAAGGAGCGCCAGATCTCTGACGTCTCTGTCGCTCAACGCATGTCTTGGGCGGCATCCCGGAAGACGACACGCAAGGAGGACAAAGCGTACTGCTTGATAGGAATCTTCGACGTCCACCTCCCGCCCCTCTACGGCGAGCGCGACCACGCCTTCATCCGGCTCCAAGAGGCCATCCTCGCGAAGATACCCGATCAGAGCATCCTGGCTTGGGGCCCGAACCAATACGACACGGAGCTCACGCTCAAGAAGCCCTCTTTATGCGCTCCTCCTCCAAACTCATCGTTCTCACATAGACGACCTCAGTCCTTCCTTCTCGCTCGGTCTCCCAAGGACTTCGCGAACTGCCACGACACCGTCAACATCACTTCCGACACGCTCGCCAATGCCCTCGACTTGCCTAACATCCCCTACGCTCGCTTCACACTGACCGCGAACGGAATCTACGTCAGACTCCCTCTGATACCCTGCTATGATCGCTCGGGGCTCAGCATTGTCTCGCCATCCTCACCTGCCAGGTGCCTCTACCGCGACGAGACGCAAGCCAGGCCCATCGCCCGCATATCTTCGAAGAGCGCAACCCTCAAGTCGTATGCTTGGTTCTCCGCTCGCACGGCGAAGCACGATCGAGCAAGAACACGGAGATGTCTGTAGGACTCGGCGCATCGATGGCCGACAGGGTGCAAGTCGACCCCCGAAAACCCACCACGGCCGCGCTCGATAACATGGCGAGCTACTTCCGCCTGGCGACGCTTTCTCTCGAAAGCCTCAAGGAGTCCAGATACAACGCCAAGGTCGACTCCATCTACATCCGCCATCTCCTTTCCGCCGGTCACCACGACCAGGACGGACCCGAGTCCGCCCTCCTCCTCCAGGCGCTCGCACGGGAAGGCTTAGACGATCCCGAGTTCGAGCTGACCAGATGGTGCCCTGAGGTTCTCACCAAGCAGGGCTTCGCCGTCAGTCAACCCCGCGCTCAGACGGTCATCGTTTCCGACGTCGCGTCGAGTTCGGACTGGCTCACCATTGAGCTCACCCGCTGCTCGGACTGCGCGGTCCGTCGGTATTGCATCCGTCCCCGCTCCACCAGCGGCAACCCAGTGTCCCCGCTGGAGTACTGGTCGTGGGACACCGCAGGCGCGCACTGCGGCGATGCCGAGGAGTCGCGCGCAGACTCGAACTGCTCCAGCTACCACATCTACTCGTGGGAGATCAAGGACGGCGTCGCGCACCGCTCGTTCAAGCCCCCGCGCCGACGGTCTGCCAGCGGTGGGATCGAGCACATCAGCATCCGTGTCAAGCAGGTCCCGCAGACGGAGCGCTTCGTCGTCGACCTCAAGGTCGTCCGGTTCCGGCCTGAGGAGTCGGCGTCCCAGCCAACGCGGCCCCCCGCGGTGGACTCCCCTTTCCGGCTGCCAGCTGCCCCATCCCCATCTGCCTCGGGGAGGCCTCCTCCTACTCGGTCCCACACTATCCCCCAGCACGCCGAGACGTATGAGCCCTCGAGAGCGTCGAAGTCCGGACGTGACCGCTCGCACACGTCGGCGCTGGGAACGGCCACGATGGCGCAGCCCTCGGGGAGTCAACGGCCGCAGTCGAAGCGGGAACGCCAGTCCTTCTCCTCTGCGTCATCACCTTCACCTTCTTATCAACCGTCGCGGCCGCTTCGTAAGTCTTCAATTCGCGCTTCGGGTAAGCGTGGAAGCTCATACTAGTCCAGTAGCGCCAAACTTCGATGGCCAGCCGTCTCCCGACTGGCCCGTGACCTTCGATGAACTCACGCCTTCCACAGGGGTCAGCCAGGACAAGGGAGATTCCAGGTATGAACATTTGAACTCTCGTGTTCCTGGGCATGCCTACTAACTCTTACGTCCGACCTACCACCCAGAGCGGCCCTCTCATCGGGGACCGAGCTGGAAGTTTCCACTTTGCCTCCGGATCGCGGAGCCCTACCCTTGGCGACTATTTCACGGCCGAAAGCAGCCGACCAACGCAGACACGCACGCCGTTCAAAATAGTTCCGCTGGTATTAGACCGTTTGAATGGATGATGATGCTTATGGTGGTGGTGATAACGCTCCTTTTACTACTACGTGTTTTGCTCGTCCATAATAGCCATGACCCTATATTTTTATGCCATTCTAACGAACAAGTTACGACTCGAGCGCTTCTCACGCCGTATCGCGACGAACTGCATCGACTCGGGAGGGCTAGTACTTACGTGGTGGATCCCTTTTCGGGTTTCTGTACGCCTTGTCATATCAGACAAGCTGGTGCATCACGCTGATCATTGTGAACGTGAATGACCTCGGTGGGCACTGTTCCTTGAAATATCCGCGGCAGGCGGGCTTCATTTACTGCCTATGGACGCCGCAGCTACTGATTTCCGCGGGCACATACAATACAAGTGCTATGCTAAGGTGACGGGAGCGAGACGGGCAAGACGTCTGATACGAGGGCGAGACGTAGGCGAACACGGACGATGTGGGGGCAAGGCAACGGTGACGCGAGGGGAAAAGGGGTTGAGGTGGGCGACATGGACGACGTGGAGACGCGGGCGACGCAGGCAAGGCGTGTCGAGAACGCGCCTGATGGAGAGGATGAAGGGCGAAGGTGGTGGGCTATACTAAGGGGAGACTGACGGTATGGCCGCAACTACGGCGCACGCGCCGCGACCGCTCCGGTCAAACGGACGCGCACAGCATGTCCGATTGGATGTGCTCGTGATAGGGAGGTGGTCACTGACGTGGGCAGGGGGTGGGCAAAGCAAAGAGCATGAGAGGCGCGGGATGGACTCACCAGGCAAGAGCGGGCGTGGTGCATCGCCGCGGGTCCAATGATCTCCGTGCTGTGAACGCCCGGGCGGATGCTTTCAGCGTTGCCCTTGAGGGTGTTGAGGGGCTGACGGAAAGGTGGGTGATGAAGGAGGATGGTGAGGAGAAGAGCGATGGGGCATAGCGGTGTGGAGGGTGCGGGTGGCGGGCTGCGGTACGGGCAATATTGAGAGGGCCGGGCAGGGCGAGGGCGAGGGCGGGGATGTGGGTGGGGGTAAAGGCGGCGGCGGCGGCGTGGAGGTCACGGTTGGTGGTGTGGGCGAGGATGCAGATGAGGGCAAGTGGCTCGCGCGCCGACTTGCCTTCTCGCTGTTGATCACATCAGTGGGGACTAAAACTACGCACGGAGTGGAGAGCCTGCAAGGCAATGTTTTAGACATCGCGTGGGGTACGGGAATGAGCTCGTCCGGACAACGCCGTGCGGCGCGGGCGACGAGGCAGGAAGGCACTGAGGAGAAAAGGAATCGATGGGGAGGGCAGCGCAAGTAGACGTGGAAAAGACTCACCTCAAAGTGCTCTCTTCGAGCAGCGCCCGCACGTTCTCGAGCTCATCCTCCGGCTCCGCATTGTGTCCTTCCGGCTCGTACAGGACGCCGTTGTCCGCACCGGGGCCGCGCCCTCTCCTGAGTTCGCAGATCTTGTGCTCGCGCTCTTCGGGCTTCGAATTCTCGAGCTTGCGCAGGCGAGACTACGCGCCACATGAGCGCTACATTTGGTTGAGGGCGCTGTGAAACTTGAGTACGATGTAGGAGAGGGGACGAAGGGGTAGGGTGGAAAGTGGACGAGCGTGAGACGCGAGGCGGGGGAAGTGCGTCACAGCGCGGGCGTAAGCGCTAGTAAGCTCTGCCAGCGTCACCTGAGTCGTCTACAGACTGCGCACGTCGGCGCATCACGCCGGGAATATCAAAGTTTCTGCTCGTCCGATATGTATGAGTAAACCTTACGAGAAATGTAGTGTTTTTGGCAACGTTCTGAGCCCCTCAGAATGATACATTTCGCGTGCATTGAAACTTTATGTACCTCGACCTATTCCCGAGTCCTCAAAATGAAACATTTCTGCGCCTGCGGAATGATTTCTCACACATAGAGTTCTGGCGGCCCGGGAACTCAAAGTTTCCCGATGTGCGAAATCATCTGCCAAATTTGACGTTTTTCTCATCATTTTGTCGGTCTCGCAACGATATATTTGGCATGGCGTTCCGGCGGTCCTGAAATGTTATGTTTTGGACCTGCGCGCCCGCTCATCGCCCGCTCATCGCCCACTGGTCGCCCACGCGTCGCCCGCGCGTCGCCCGCTCGTCGCCCGCAGGCTGTCCACCTCCCTTATTTCCTTGCGCCCTGCTTATTGCGCGCAACGATGAGCGAAGTTATGAGTGGGCGATGAGCGGGCGATGAGCGGGCGCGCAGGTCCAAAACATAACATTTCAGGACCGCCGGAACGCCATGCCAAATATATCGTTGCGAGACCGACAAAATGATGAGAAAAACGTCAAATTTGGCAGATGATTTCGCACATCGGGAAACTTTGAGGTCCCGGGCCGCCAGAACTCTATGTGTGAGAAATCATTCCGCAGGCGCAGAAATGTTTCATTTTGAGGACTCGGGAATAGGTCGAGGTACATAAAGTTTCAATGCACGCGAAATGTATCATTCTGAGGGGCTCAGAACGTTGCCAAAAACACTACATTTCTCGTAAGGTTTACTCATACATATCGGACGAGCAGAAACTTTGATATTCCCGGCGTGCATGTTCCCTTCTCAAACCATTCGGTCCGGCCTAGCCGCCTACCTTTGCAGCCCTACGTTGCGCCTTCGCCGATCGCGCCCAAAGAGCAACCGAGCACACTCCTCGTGCCTTGACTGTCGGAGGTGCGCTGTTTCGCCAAGCATGATGTGGATTTCCCGTCGTGCTCACTATTTCATCCGCAGAGATCAAGGAGTACGTCCAGTGGTGCGGCCAGGCCGCGAAGAACGCCGTCGAGGGCGCGGGCTTCGACGGCGTCGAGGTCCACGGCACGAGCGGGTACCATGTCGATCAGTTCCTCCAGGACGTCTCGAACACCCGCACGGACGTGTACGGCGGCTCGATCGAGAACCGTGCGCGGTTCACTCTCGGGCTTATGGACGCCGTCGTTGGCGCAGTCGGTGCAAGCACAGCAGCGATCCGCCTAAGCCCATGGAACACGTACCAGGACATGCACATGGAGGACCCGGTGCCGCAGTTCACGTACCTCGTCGACCAGTTCAAGCAGCGCTTCCCGAAGCGTACCTCCATGTCGTTGCGCCCAGCGCGCTGGCTAACGTCGGGCCAAAGGTCCCTTGGGTGCGTAGTCATCGGATACGGGATGCCGTTCCTCACGAACCCTGACCTACCCTTCCGCCTGAAGAAGCACCTGGCGCTCAACTTCTCACCGGACTACAGCATGCTCTTCACGACGAAGACCGCGGGAGGTTACACCACGTACCCGTTCTCGGAGGAGTTCTTGAAGACGCAGACGGCATGGGCTCCGGCGATAGAACTTACAGCGACCCTTCTGATGGTGGTGCATTGACGGCATTATTGGCGCGTGTTCATATTTGCACTTTCTGGCGGTATATGTACAGCCTGGTCGATGTACGGTCACCGTACATCGACCAGGCTTTGACCTTCCTTCCCGCGTCTCGCAAACATTGGTGTTCTCCGTTTGGATCGGAGACGTCAAAGGTTACCTGAGCTGTAAGACAGACAGGTGGCAGGAAACCTGTGGCATGTCTGTGTGCTTGACGGGAAGATGTTCATGGACACTCGGGATTGGCTCAGCGGAGCCGTGCCCGACCCCGAGGTGTTGCGGCCACCGCCGACATCCACGAGAGTTCACGGATATTCAAAGCGAAACTCCGCTCGATTATCTTCGCGGAGATACGCACGTTCGCAGCAGCCGTTCTGTGCCGCACCACGTACAGCCTCGTCTGGGGCATTTCGATAGAGAACCTTGTCCGCCCCAATTCCAAATAGTGTGACCTAATGATAATCAATGCCGCCGGCGCCTCTGCCCACGCAGACTGAGTACGTCGCGCGACCGCCGTCCGGCTTGAGTGCGTAGCCCGAGCCGTCTTCGAGTTCCCCTTGCCGAGGACACACCGCCATGGGTCAGGAAGCATACATATTTGGCATGGGCACCAGCCGAGCAGCGCCGACCTAGGGTTTCCAGCGTCCAGCGGGGCAGTGACTATCCGTCAGGATCCAGTACGTCGCGCGCTCAGAGCGGCCCCTGTGCTGCTTCCCTGACAGCGAAAACTGATTGCGGTCGCCGTACTATGTATAAAGAGCTGAAGCGGATTGCTTCTCCCGCGCTCATGGCCAGGCGGCCCCTCACTCCTTTCACCGTACCTGGCCCGCATCCTGTTGGTATGTGTCCCGTTCACCGTGTCCCGTTCTTCTCTGCCGACACACCCCTTTGCAGCTCAGTAGCACGACAAAATGCGCCTCCTTGCCACCGACACCGGGCTCATGTCCGAGTTCGCGGACCCGACCGAAGTCAAGTACGCCATCCTCTCCCACGTTTGGGCCAGGAAGACGAGCGACAACGACACGTCCTACGAGCCAGAACTCACCTATGACGACTACACCCGCCTCCGTACCGAGCATGGTGATGAATCCGATGATCCCTTCCTCGACAAACTCCCTCCGAAAGTACGGCACTCTTGCGAGGTCGCCAAAGACCACGGCATCTCCTTCATCTGGATCGACACCTGCTGCATCAACAAGTCAAACAGCTCCGAGCTTTCGGAGGCGATCAACTCCATGTACCGATGGTACGGCCTCGCGCAAGTCTGCTACGCCTATCTCTACGACGTCGACTCCCATGCCAGGACCAAGTTCCACGACAGCGAATGGTTCAAACGCGGATGGACGCTGCAAGAACTCATTGCGCCCCCCGAGGTCCTCTTCTTCGACAGGGACTGGGAGATTATCGGCTCACGCTACGACCTCTCGGACGAAATCCGGTCTATCACCAACATAGACCGTGCCGTCCTCCGGAAGGAGCGCCAAATCTCCGACGTCTGCGTCGCTCAACGCATGTCGTGGGCAGCATCCCGGAAGACGACACGCGAGGAGGACAGAGCGTACTGCTTAATAGGAATCTTCGACGTCCACCTCCCCCCCTCTACGGCGAGCGCGACTACGCCTTCATCCGGCTCCAAGAGGCCATCCTCGCGAAGATACCCGATCAGAGCATCTTGGCTTGGGGTCCGAACCAATACGACAAGGAGCTCACACTCGACAGACCCTCTTCACGCTCTCCTCCGTCAAACGTGTCTGTCAAAAATAGTCCTCACTCCTTCCTTCTCGCTCGATCTCCCAAGGACTTTGCGAACTGCCACGAAACCGTCAACATCACTTCCGACACGCTCGCCCGTGCTCTTGGCTGGCCCAATGGCATTCCCTACGCTCGCTTTACAGTGACCGCGAACGGATTCAACGTCAAACTCCCTCTGATACCCTGCTACGATGGCTCGGGAGCTCAGCATTGTCTCGCCATTCTCACCTGCCAGGTGCCTCTACCGCGGAGAGACGGAAGCCGGGCTCGCCCGCAGCAAGTGGTGTGCTTGGTTCTCCGTTCGTATGGCGAAGTGCGATCGAGCGAGAGCACGGAGATGTTTGTAGGACTCGTGTCCATGGCTGACAGGTTGCAGATCGACGCCCGGATTCCCATGAAAGCGGCGCTCGACAAGATGGCGAGCTATTTCCGCCTGGCGACGCTTCCTCTCGAAAGCCTCAAGAAGTTTCGCGATAACGCGAAGGTCGAGTCCATCTACATCCACCATCTCCTATCCGCCGGTCACCACGACCAAGACGGCCCCGAGTCCGACCTCCTCCTCCAGGCGCTTGCGCGAGAAGGCCTGAAGGAACCCGAGTTCGAGCTGACCAAATGGTGCGCGAAAGTTCTCACCAAGCAAGGCTTCGCCGTCAGTCCACCGCGCACTCAGACAATCACGATTTCCGACGTCACGTCGAGTTCGGACGAGCTCACCATCGAGGTCACCCGCTGCGACTGCGTGGGCCATCGGTATTGCATTCGTCCCCGCTCCAGCAGCAGCAACCCCGTCTCCCCGCCGCAGTACTGGTCGTGGGACATCGCCGCGGACTACGGGGACCCCGGCTTGCGCGCGAACTCGAAGTGCTCGAGCTTCCACATCTACTCGTGGGACATCAAGGACGGCGTCGCGCACCGCTCGTTCAAGCCCCCGAGCCGACGGTCTGCCAACTGCGGGATCGAGCACATCAGCATCCGGGTCAAGCACGTCCCGCAGCCGGATCATTTCGTCGTCGACCTCAAAGTCGTCCGGTTCCGACCCCTGACGAGTTGGCGTCCCAGCCGACGTCGCCCGCGGAGGACTTCCCGCCGCCCCAGCCGCCGTCACCCTCATCCTCGTCTGCCACGGAAACACCTACTCGGGCCCGCACGGCCCTTCACGTCGAGACGAATGGGCCTCCGAGGAAGCCCGGGGGTGTCCGCTCGCACTCGTTGGCGCCCGCACCTATGATGATGGCGCAGCCCTCGGGGAGTCAATGGCAGCGGCCGAAGCAGAAACGCCAGCTCTCCGCTGCGCCATTATCTTCATCTCCACACCAGCCGACGCGGCCTGCATGGTTTTGTAAGTCTTCAATCCGCGCTCCAAGGAAGCGTGGAAGCTCATAGTCCAGTAGCGCCGAACGATGGCCAGCCGCTGTCTACCATCTCCGACGAGCCCGAGCCCTTCGATGAATCAAGTCCTCGAACGCCTGCCACGGCGGTCAGCCCAGATACGGGAGAGGCTAGGTATGAATCCTCGTGTTATTGGGCAGGCTGGTTCTTACATCTCTACGCAGAACGGTCTCGTGGACCCGGGGTCTGGAAGTTTCTGGTTTACCTCCGGATCACGGAGCGCTACCTGTGGTGACCAAGCTGCCGCCGCCGCCACCGAAGATTCGTGAGAAGAACAGCGAGCTCAAGAAGCGTCACCCTGCCAATGATGCTGCAAGTCGAGGTGAGTATGGGATTAAGTACCTTCGCGCTGCCCACCGTTTAAAGCTGGGTATATCAGACCCCGAGAAGTCCTCGACTCTTCGACATGTTCAAGAGACTGGGCCCGACGCATCTCCCGTAAAGCAGCCCGTAGTGCCGACCAACGCAGAAATGCACAGTTCCGCTGGTATTAGACGGTTTGAGTGGATGATGGTGGCGATGATGGTGTGTATGGTGATGATGATGGCGCTCCTTGTACTACGTGCTCCGCCCGTACACTAGCCATGACCGTAGTATAGTTTCATGCCATTCCGATCACGAACGAGTTACAACTCAAGCACTTCTTATGGCGTCCGTAACGCGAGGAAATGCGTCTCGAAGGGGTACGTGGCGTGTCCCTTTTCTCAGCATAGTAGTTGGAGTAAGTAGTCGGGATCGCTGGCCAGAATGTTGGGTTTTAGCCGGAACACTAAGTTAGGCAGCAGCCCTTGACGTCAGACCTCCTCTCCGCGCATACGGTCTCAATGGGACTCACCATCGACAGGAACATCTGTCCTCGATATTTTCTCTGTCTGCTACGCTTTCTTCAACGCCATCTCCCGCGTGTATGCGCCCGTGGAGATCAGTGATTGCGGTGTCCATGGCTGGTGGATGAAGTCCGCCTGCCTCGGATCCTTGGACGAGCCTCCGCCGAGCGCGTTCGCGTTCACAAAGATCGGGGTGACGTGCTAGGTTGTCTGATACTTATGACAAAGCGTACAGAATACCGACTGGAGCCGTCGCTTGCGTGGTCACGGCAGCCGCGCAGAACTTGTCATTTGAGACAATGAAACAATTGAAGTCCCAGCCGCCCTTATCAGTACTACTCACATCTGTGCATCGTCGTGGTCATCCACAAGCACTCGGCAAGTTAAATCAAGGAACGTACCACCACTGCAGTCTTCTGTGTGAGTTCACACACCCCTAAACTCGTCGTGTTCATTCTTTCCGACGACCTTCTCACCGCCTCGGCCAACTCTCTGTCTTCTTCCGAGAGAGCGTCCATCCTTCCATCGCGTTCTCCCACGACCGGAAGTACGTCCACCTCGCATGTCGCCCCTTCCTCCGGCGGAACCTTCTCGTCAAAGTACCGCCACACCACCTTCGCCGTGCACACCGACGAGCCCCTCGTCGAACATTGCCACGCGCTCTCCTGCACCAACAGCCCCGCGGCCCCGAAGCGCGCCAGCTCGTCCTCCTCGCCTGAGCGAGCGGCGTGACCGGGTCGAACCTGTTCGACGGCGGCGACGGCGGGTGCGCCGCGCGCTCCGCCGCGACCGGCGCCGTGAGCCTCGCCTTCACGCGCAGCGGCCACGCCGCGCTCTGGACCCACGACGTGCCCCACACGGGCGCGAGCAGCGGCGAGGTCTCGACGAGGGCGTCCCAGACGCGTGCGAACGCGGTCGCGTTGTGCGCGTGCGCGTCCCCGTCCGCGCACTCCACCGCCCAGCGCGCCGTGCTTCTTGACTCTGGGATGGGACTGGCGGAGGAAGCATGCGTCGTGGCCAGTCACTAGATGACTAGATAGGCCGGCGAGGCGAAGACGGGAGTGGGGTACCGAGCCGGTGCCGACGCCGGAAGAAGCTTCGTTGGATGATGAGGACTGCTGAGGCGGACTAGGATCTTGCGAACTTCCGAGGACGGTGTCGAAGAATCTTGACGCGGAAGGACGGCGAAACAGAGCTGGCGTCGGGATCGGGTCGGAGGGGGGCAGGTCAGAAGACGGGTAGTCGGCGAAAGCAGATGACGGGCGAGATTCGGAGCTGCGCGCATTGGATTTGTTGGCCTGCCGCTGTTCCAGCTCCTTGATAGAAGGTAAGTCGTCCCAAGAATGCGTGCGTTCCGGAATCCCCCACGAAGACGGCGTCGTCATCGGACGCGGCGAGCCTAGAACGAAGGAGTAGGAGCAGGGACGCGTCGCCGCGCACTTTGAGGCACATCCGAGACTGGTTGCACCAATGGGGGCGCTGGGGTATGAGAAGAAGCAGAAGTGCGCTTTTGAGTGGCTGTATGCACGATATCCGAGCTTTGGCCAGACTCGAGAGGCCTCTTCCGGCCCTTGGCTGCAGGTGGGGGACACTGAGTATTGGGGTTCTGGACGCAGACGCAAATGAAGCGGATCGAGTTCACAAAAGCTGCTCAGGACGAATTTAGCGACGCGTATAGTCAGGGAAGATAGGCGTGGGTCCTCACTGGAGCTTGTCCGAGTGACAGAGACGTCGCGTGGACTGGGACGCTGATAACGGAAGCCGACCACAGGACCTTCGTAGACCGCTTTGAGGGGTGGTGTGAGGGGCGCCTGCATGTCGGGCATGGACGAGTACACGACAAAGTTCAAGTCTTCCTGCAAGGTGCATTCAGTATACACAGCAAGGAGCAGTAATGTTAGGGTACGCACAAATACGATCTTCTGCTACGTCCATCGCATCTCGTCCGAGAGGGCATATACATATGATTTTGACTCTGAAAGAGTGAAGACGGCCGTCGGGTGCCTTGGTGGCTTCAATCGTCAGGCGTATGGTCGGGGTGCTGAACATCTGCCATTCGCCATTGCCGGCCTCGCTGGGTCCCGCGTTGCGCGCGCGCGAGTACTTGAGCAGCTCGTGAGAATCCGTCGTCGTGGTGGAAAGCGACATCACCAAAGGATTGAGTGATAAGTGGAAGAAAGTGGCACCCAGGGCGGAATTCATGCGAGGATTGTGCCGCACGGTCATGTGACTGAGTCCGATGTTCGAATCCCGTATCGTCCAGACATGCCGATTCGAAGATTTTTGCGAGGGCGAACAACGACATACATAGAATACAACCCAGAAATAAATCAAAGTTTTCACTGCTGGCGCATCTGAGGGACCTGAGCCGCGATCCACTGGCCCAGGACCTCAGGGATCCTCGACTGGATGTACACCGTTTCGGGACCAGTGGATCTGCATCGCGTTAGCACACTTCCCTCATGAAGTATATGAGCGAGATAAAAGGTACCAGAACACAAGGCCCTCGTCTGTATGCGAGCTCGAGAGGAAGCCCTGGGAGATGCGCTCAACCTTGGACTGCGCGATCCAAGCTTCAAGGCCGTTGTCGGCTGCAGCACCGCACCGTCATCCCTCTCCAGTGCGAGAAGAAGGATACAATGAAATGCCAATGACGCACCAACCCACCGCTCACCTAGCTGGATCGTGCGCAACTTGACGCCACCCTGGCCCGTGGCATGGTAGACGAACGGGCCGTCCCCAGAGAAGGCTGATCGTGGGTTGGCATGTGGTCCGTGCGGTGAGGAGCGAGGGCAGCAGAAGCGAGGGTGGATCGGACAGCGCTGGGCACGCACAGACAACCTTGCCACAGCCTTAGCTCATGGCGGTGCGCGCGACGCCGCCGCCGGTGCAGGCGAGGAACGCGTGGCTGCAATCACCCACGGAGTCTCAGTCTGGCGGTCGAGGTGGATGCGAGACCAGGGGACGGTAGTATCGCCCCGGGTCTCAACTTTGTGAGCATGGCCTCGCTCGGGCCGGTGAACGTCCGAGACCCGGACATCTGCGCAGGCCGCCGTGCTCGTGCTGACCAGGGTAGCCACGCTGCTGCTAAGAAATGAGTACCGACGAGAATATGTAGATGCTGTCAGTAGGAGATGGGACGGAGAGGGTGATAGCAATCGAGCAGTGAGCTTGGCCAATCGCTATCCCAGATAGACCTGGAAGATGCGCGCGGTCTGGATCCGTGCGAAGGTAAAATGCTTAAGGCTACAGCGACAATGAAAAAAGTACAAAAATGGTATGGTCTAGGGTCCCTATGTCACAGAGACGGTGCGAGCAAATGCATCCAGAGCCAGCCAGAGCCCCGCGGCGAGGTCATGAGTTGCTCCGTGGCGGCGATGGCGTCCTGCGCCTTTTCCGCACTCGTCAGCACTGTACGCGCCCAAACGCAGAGTTCCGTCGTCGTGTTTGCGAGAGAAGCGGCTGATCAACGAGGAAGGTAGGGGGTGCGGGGATCAGCGAGATTAACGGGAGATAGGCTTAGCACGCACTTCCGGGGAAGACCGAAGAAAGCGTACCTGACGACGCCGACGCTCGTCGACATGGATCCGGAGTCGGCGGCTTTCGACTTCGGCGGCAAATTCGAGCAGGGGCTTGTGCGCGCGGCGGCTCATTTGTCTGAACTTGCTGAGCTTGAGGCACGTTGTGCTGTTTTCGTCGTGCTCCCGGGGTCGCCTCCGATGCCGCGTTGAGCTCATTTTCCTCGACAAGGAGTGGAGCCCCGGCTTTCCCGAGCACCGCGGGCTTTTCCTCGACAAGAGAGGAACACAGAGTAGCGTCTGTTACGAAAGGGGACGAAAGTGAGGATCCGAATACCTCGGGATTGATCAGGAATGCTCACAGAAGGTGCAATCGTAGACGCGACTGAATTTGATCCGTTCACATGGGACCCCGAAGACAGACGGAAGGGGTCGGTATTCAAGTATTCGTCCTCGGAAACGGGCAGGTCCATCTTGAGGTCGGCGAGTTCCGGAGAGTTGTACAGAGGACAGAAGAAAATATTGGGATCGCTCCGGCTCTGCATATTGGGTATCGGGTGGCAGTCGGCGGTTGAAGTCCAGGGGCGATACTACAACGCTCTGTGCACAGCGTTAAGAATATATGTACAAGCTCTTGCTTTGAAGAGAGCCACATCCTGAAGCGGGCTTTCGGCGAACAAAGAGTCGTCATTGTGGTCTGAAAGTGAGATTGAGTGGTCTAGTGAGCCGCCCAGGAACCAACAAAGAGCCTTGAAAATGTCCACACGAACTTACGTGCTTCTTCACAGTTCGATGATACCAAATGTCAGCGCCTTTACGTCAAGACCACAATTTCTGACCAAGTACTTATGGCGCAGCGCTTGGTCAACTGGTTGTGACTTGATCCGTGCCAACAAGTAGAACGAATAGAGCCTCAATGGCGTGTAATTGTTGGTCTTCATCGGGGATTTCCAGTCTGTGGCCCCGTGACGGAACCCGTGGGACGGTGCAAAAGTGGACCGAACGACCCACCGGACGAGAGTACCAATAATTACGGCAACGTAGTGTAATCTTGCGGCAGCGTATGTGCCATTTCACCTGCATGTCTGCAATTTTGCAAAGGATCGGTGGTCCCGGCGTGGTGCACTGCAGTACTACTAGCATGACCCCAGAGTTGAGAAATGGGAGCGCCCGCAAGATCAAACCATGAGAATCTCAACCATCTCTGTTGCGATAGTCTTCGGATTTCGTACACATATTGGTAGTGTCATAAGAAATCAGTGTGCAAAGTTTCAAAGGAAACTGGTACGTATTGCGCCCCCAGTGGACGAACCGGCCGCGGACCCTAGAGTTGAGAAATTTCGCCGAGGCTTAGTCACAGTGCGGGTCACGCAGCCGACATCAACTCCGCTCGGCTAGGCTGTCAGATACGTCCAGGGATGACAGCATCCTCCCCAACGACAACGTCGGAGACTGAAATTCACTCACGTTCTGTGGCCGAAGTCACGCTTGAACTGACCCAAAGTGCGTTTTCGCCTCCCTCCCACAGATATCATGCCGGAGAATTCGAATTGGGGCAGCCACGCTTCATCCAATACCCCTCACGCAGCTTCAACCTAAGCGCTGGTCATGGGATCGTAGCCGACGGGTATCAAATCTTCGACTTTTCTCATTTGAGAGATGTTTGCGAAAGATCGTGCTTGTTTCTGCACGGAACGACGTCGTTCTTTTTGAAAACGAAAGTGAGAACATGTTCCTACCAGCGTGTGAATTTTCAACATTATCGGACGAGGGACGGGACCGCCAGACCAGATTTCTCAACACTGGGGGCATTTCTCATCACTGGGGTCGGACTAGTACGGCCTGTTAGCAACCATCGACACTCTATTCGACAGTCGCGAGCACATGGTTGGCTAGACCAACAATCGATGTGGATTGTGGTCGGTGTGAGAAGACGTGGGCTGATCGTCTGTCTTTACCATCGAGTGATGTACTGGTCCGGAGATGTTCCTCAAAAGTGGACGGATCCAAGCCGCGATACAGGTTTCATTTGTAAGTACGAGGGGAAGCGGCTGAGACAAGGCGGTCTTAAGTACCGCTTGGGGCGGGGGAAAATAACGACCGACGCACTCAAAGAGGCAAGATGCGGGGCAGGGCGGGGGCGGTGATATGGCGCTGCGACGCTCGGGCGCAAGCCTCGGCGATGAAGCTTGGAGATGGGTCTAAAAGCGGGGCAGCGGCTATCTGCCACAGCAGACGGGTGAGCAGGAAGCGGAAGTGCAGGTGCGATCGTGGAGGCACGGGCGCGGCACATTGCACCGGTTTAGCGCGAGGGAACGAACGGTCCGCCCGCGCCCAACGCGCTCGGAAGATTGAAGGCCGTCTTCCAACCCCTCCTCCTCCTCCTCCTTCGTCTGCCAACCTCGACCCGCCCTCCATGCGCTCTGGCTCTCGCTGAAACCCCCAGGTCCTCTGACTGTCCACGCTCGACGCGACCTCTTGGCTCTGGAAACACGCTCACCACTCTCTGCTGCGCACCTTTCGTCGCGCGAATGCACCCCCTCACCGTCCTCCCCTCGAACTCATCCTTGCTGGCTTTGCTGTCGCTCGAGACATTGTGCGCTCTTCGGTTCGCATCGCGTCCCCTCGACTGACTCTCTGGTGTACGTTCAGCGGCTCCGAGGTGCACCTCCGCAGTCAACATGTCGGGACGGGCTTGACAAGGTGAGCATATGTTCCGTGGCATGCGCGTTCAGAGGGAGGACAATGGATGGAGATGGTAGGGGAAGGAAAGCAGATGAGGTGGGCGAGGCGATCGGCAATGCCTCAGGGTCAGGTTCGATCGCTTGCAGACCGTGCCGTCTCGGCCGCGGGGCCGTCTCAAGCGGTGGCGGCGACTCGGCGACTCGGCTCAATGGATGCAACAGTACCTGAGGAGAGACAGGTTCATCCACTGGAGGTCACTGTGCCGGATTTCCCCCTCGTTTTTCTTCGCATACACCCACTATGGCAGCGGTTGACGATGTTCCTACAGCTGAACAACAAGTACGGACATAGTCCATGCACCCTGCAAGACCAGCTCAACCAAGCTTGCTCTGACGACCCTGGTATGTTCTCTTCTCTCTCGAACACGTCTGCCCTGCCGCTCAATGCATTATCCTAGACGACGATACTTGTACATGGTGCGTTGTCAAGGACCTTGTGCTAGTCGCCCTTCTCACTGCGGACGCATGCTCAGCAATACCATGATGTATAATGTCGGTGCAGCATGTCAAGCTTGCTCAGGCAACGCTACCTCTACCTGGTCGCAATGGGCGAGCGCACACTCCTGTGGGTCTACACCTGGTCCACCCCCCTCTCATCTTCAAGTCCAAAAAGACACTGTCCCGGACTGGGCCTACCAGAACCTCTCGTCATCCAGCGACTTCAACTTGGCAGCTGCTCTTGCGCAGTCTCGTACGTTGCGTGACTTCCCGTGACCACTGACTCTAGCTAATTTTATACTCCACACCCTTCCTCAGCGCCGAATCAAGGTCTATCAAAGGGCGCAGAAGTGGCTGTGATCATCTCCGTAGCAATGGGCGCGCTGCTGCTGTCGTCGCTCGGCTTCTGGTGGTATTGGCGACGGAAGTGGGCACGCCAGCGGAATTCGCGACAGAAGACACTCCCGCTCCTCCCAGGACAGAACTCACCATTCCACCCTGCGAAGTGGTTGCGGTGGGTCGGCTTATTCCGTGGGTCGCAACGCCTTCGCCCGACAAAGAAGAACTCCGAGTGGGAGATCGACGATGACGACGACGACGACGACGACGGCACGGAACTCCTCTCGCAGTCTAGCGGAAAGCGGAACAGCTACCACAGCCCGTACTCTGCGCTGTCTCCGCAACGTGCGTACCAACACAACGTCAGCCCAAGCACGTCGGGCCACGTGCAGTCTCCGTCGGGCTCAAGCTTGCTCTCGCGCTTACCAAGCGTCAGGTTGCCGTCCTTCTTGGAGCGCTTCTCCAAGTTCAAGGACGGGGTGCCCAAGAGCACGTCATACAAGTCCAAGTACGTGTCGCCCTCGTCTGCGGACGTCAACTTCCAGATCGACGGGCCCATTCCCGAATCTGGCGAACTCCTCGGACGCAAAGGGACCACGCGCACCGTGGCAGACTTCCGCCCTCGACTTTCGGGTTCGCCCCCCGGCGACAATAATGCCCACCGACTTTCAAGACCCGTAACGGATCCCGGTGCGGCGCGACCGGACCACATGGACGAAGGTTTTGTTCTAGTCCCAGAACCGGCCCCGGTTCCAGAGTCGGTTCTGATCATCTCGAAGGACGGACGGGATTTCTCACTGGACGACACGACGACTGTCGCAGGCATGTCGGGAGGCAACTCGGCCCTTTCCCATCCCGTACGTGGTTTTACTCACGTATCATCGCTCGTCACTCACTCACACGTTTTACGCATTAGCCCTCCGCCTTCGGTGGGCGATTAACGACGTCCTCCAGGTCGGGCTCGTTCTCCCGCACCGGCACCGCCAGCATGATCGTCAGCCCCGTCTCCGCCTGGCAGTCAAGCACGGGCAGCTCCTCCTGGCTGCCCTCCCGCAGCCACCGCGCGGAGACCTCCTCGACCGTCTCGGGCGCGTACCCGCACGAGCTGCGCCGCGATCCGGACCTCGCGGCGCCGCCCAGCTGGGCGAACAAGTTCCCCCTCCCCCCCGCCATCGTCCCGCCGGTCCCGCCGCTGCCCCCTCTTCCGGACTTGCCGCAGGTGGCCCCGCTGGCGGTGCGGCCGCGGCCGTTGCCGCGGATGCCGGTGGAGGACCTGGAGCCTCCGCGCGTGCTCCCGGAGGACAGGGAGCGGGAGTCGCCGACGGCGATGACCCCGCGGACATTGGCGCGCGGACATTTCGATGACGGAGTCAGAGGCAGCCGTTGATTCGCGCGTTGTATGCGCCCGTGCGGTCGTATATACACAGCGGCCTGCGGTCGTTTTGCGTCATGCTCCGCCGTGGCGCGCTCTCGTCGGCGGAGCGGCGTCGGAGATGGCGTCTGCGTATGTGGTTGCTTGTACGTATTTACCAAGGACTCTATCCATATCACGCGATGACACTTGTACATATTCCACTAACATGCGGACAGTGGTATCATAGTTCTTTGCTGTACTTAGTATCGAACGGGATGCTCGCCTCTCAAGGTAAAACGACCTCGATGGACGTCTAGACTCGCTGGAATGGATCCATAACCACGGCATTGAGGTCCCCAGCGACGGACCCTCCTATGTACACGAGTATAAAACTAGAAACAGATGTACTCGTTGTTTGAGTTGCCCTCGGATCAAAGTGGCATCAATGGAGACCAGTCACCCGCGCAAGCGGGTAGATGCGCTCAGAACACCGGAGCGTCTGTCCAGACAATACAGACGGGATTCCGGCTAGGTGGGGCCCAGATAAATTGACACAACCAGCCAGAGGGTGTGCTAGGACTAGTGGTATTAGTAGTCGCATACTCGACCGCGCTGATGGCCGATCGTTCCCACTCGCCTGGGCGCCTACCCCGGGATCATGATGCCCGGCGGGATTTTGCCTTCTGTCCACTCCGAGCACGCGGCATGGAGGTCCATCAGCGCGCACACCACTCGTCGCACATGGCCATTGATCTTCTCCTTGACGACTTTTCTCCGTGGCCTCTGTGCCTTGTTGCTGGTGCTCCACCTCAGACCTGCGTCCTAGCTAGTAGCTAGTACCCAGGTCATGGAAGAGGCGCAAAGGTAGTAGACTAGCTACTTGTTACCGCTCAAGTCGCAGCCGACTAACTTGGTCGAATTTCAAGTCCTACCCGCGAATCCGTGCCGTCAGGATGGTCATCCGAGATCGCTGCAGTCGGAAAGAACGCATGTCGACATCGCCTATGCCCAGAAGCGAGCCCCGGTCTCCACCCTTTTTTACGACGGACACCGGTTCCCGCGGACGTCGGAGGGAAACGCGCCCCTATATACCCTTCAGCAACGCGGCGCAGCCCTTGCTTTGCGCCTTTCCGCTCCTTCCGCTCGTTGCTCCCTGTTCCGGCGTCCCCTTGCCCATGTCCCATGTGTCGCTCCTTGCTCGCAACCTGGCTTATTTCGACGTATGTTGCCTCTACCTTCAGCCTGCCCCTCCCTTTACTCGCCGCCTCCCATGGTCTCGCCCCGCTCTCGGAACTCTCCTGGCATCTGAACCCAGAGCCCGAAGACTCTGGCAAGACCCATGATCTGGAGCGGAGAGGATTAGCGCAGCTTGATAGAGAGGTCTCTCAAGGGCAAGAAGATGGAGTCCCCAAAGTCACAACCATCTCTCCCTCTGTGGCGTTCAACGATACACCCCTTGAGGTAAATGGAAAAGTTTCTCAGATCTTTGCTCTCAATGCGAGCTCAAGGCACGATAGCTCTCCGTCCGGGCTCGCCTGTCTTTACCGCTCTCCTTTTCAATATTTCTCGACATCCCTTCACATGACACCCATGCGTATCATGCGCAAGGAGATTCATTCGTTGCTGTCGCACGTGAGTATGGAGCTTACCCAAGTTGTAAACTGATACTGAGGGACCGGCTCGCAGAGCGATTCCCAGCACGTACATTAAGCCCTATTCGAACAGTAGACATCCACGCGCAGGTCACCGCGCTCTCGACCGACACTCAAGCCCTCCTGTCTTCTTCTAGGTCCGATGCCTTCTTTGTGCCATCCGTTGTGCATACGCACTAACGACCGATTCAGAGCACAACACGCTTCTGGGAACGTCCGTCGTGATGGAAGCGACGATAGCCAACCAAGGACTGTGTCTACTGGGGCCGTACTGGGCGGCACTATTCCAACCGTAGCCTTCTTGGTGATCGCAGTTGGAGCGACGTCCTTCTTGCGGCGCCGCAAACGTAGAAGGGGTCGTAAAGGACCCCAGGACGACAACCAGAGCGAGATCATCGAGTATTTGGACTCACCCCGAGAAGCGCCTGGTCACCTCTACCCTTACTACTATTCCAAAGACGCGAGTACCTTTCACGAAGATCACGAAGCCTCAATGCCTTCCTCTGCCACATATCTTATTTCCGCACCCCCCAGCCCCAGTCCTTCAATCACCCCGCCTCCCCCCGCCATCGTGCACCAGCATCACTGCCTCGCCCACGACAAACTCCCCTCCACAAACAGCGCGCCGACCTCCTCGACCCGCTTCAACTCCACCTCCACCTCCCGCTCCAACTCCCGCCCCACGATCACCCGCACCGCCACCCACCCTCCTCCCCTCCTCCTCCTCCTCCCTCCCGACCCGCGGCGCCCCCTATCGGCGGCGTCGGACACCGCGATGCACCCGCTCTCCGCCGTCACCGCCGCGCACCCGAAGATGCACCGCGGCCCACCGCGGCTCGTCGCCGTCAACGCGACCGCGGCGGACATCATCAGCCCCGCGTCGCCCGGGCCCCACGCGCGGCCGCCGTCGACGATGATGGACGGGGATGGGGACCCGTTCCGAAGGATGCCGAGCCCGGTGGTGGCGCCGCTGAGGAGCGGATCGTCGCTCGGGGAGATTTCCGCGCGCGCGGGAGGCGGGACGATCCCAGAGGCGACTTCGCCGGTGGCGACGGTCGAGGTGTTGCGGGCGAGGGCGCTGGAGGAGAAGGCAAAGCCCGAGAAGGGTGGGGCGGGCGGTGGTGCCAGGGCGCACAAGGAGACGGTGACGGAGCTGAAGACCGAGATCCAGATGCTGATCCAGGAGGTGAGGGCGCTGAAGAGCGACCAGGATATCCTGGACAGGGAGCGCGAGACGAAGTACGGGATTGGGTCGGGGATGTGAGGAGTAGTATGTGCGCGACCGCCCGTCGCTTCGTGCGTCTCCCCGAATTTGCGTCTGGACATATACGTGTGTATCGAGTAGTTGATAATCTGGATCACTCTTACTTTGTACGTATGCCTCTATTCTATCCTGCGCCTGCGCACACATTTGTATCATCATCCGGGTAAAGTGCACTTGCTTTAGTCATCGCAACGCGCCAAACGGCCCAAACGAACCCCATAGCTTGCTCACGCATCCATCCAGTTCTTGCACTGGATAATAGCCCCATCAGTCGCGTAGAGGCTTTGGAGCATAGATTGCTTACGAAGAATCGGCGATGAACCGTGGATCCAGCGTCATCTATTGTTTTCACCTCCTCCGGTGTCAAGTCGGGAAGGCGCAAAATATCGAGGTACTCCTGCATGCGCTCTGCCTTAGAGCTAGTCCTGTGAGTAAGGTCAATTAGATTCCAGTCCCGACGGAAGTAAAGCAACCATACGTGATCTCTATCACCCCGTGCGCGCGATGCCACAAGAGAAGCACCTGAGCCTCAGTCACAGGCGCTCCTGCCTCCTTCTCCAGTCGCCGACGAATGGGAGCCAGCAGCGCTGAGTCGACGGGGCCGTCCGGGAACCGAGTCAGCATCGCAAGCCCGGAGTAGCCAGCGGTCGCGATGCCGTGCCGCTCGTGGATGGCGACAAGGGTCTTGTTCGTGTCGTACACGTACGGATGATACTCGACCTGTACCATAGTCGGAAATCAGCACGCGCTGCACATCCGCATCGCGGTCTTGGAGGACGTCACCTGATTGACCGCGGGAATGACCTTCGCGTCTTCCAGGATCGTGTGCAGCTGGGTCGCGTTGAAGTTCGACAGCCCGATCGTCCGCGCGAGCCCCGCCTCCTTCACGCCCTCCATCTCGCGCCACGTCGCCTTGAGGTCCGCGAAGAATATGGGCACGTGGATGAGGAACATGTCGACGTAGTCCACCTGCAGCTTCCGGAGCGAGTCTTCGAGCGCGCCGCGCACGCTCTGGCCCTCGGGAGCTTGTTGAGCTTGGTGTGATATAGAGATCGGCGCGCGGCCGGCCGCACGTCGCGATCGCGGCGCCCAGGAACTCTTCGTTCTTGTACAACTGCGCGCCGTCGAGGTGGGTGAACCCGGCGGAGATCGCGGAGAGGATGGTGGAGGTGGTGTCGTGCTCGCGGTGGATGGTGCCGGTGCCGTATCCGAGGCGGGGACACGTGTGCCGTCGTTGAGAAGTACCATCGGCATTGGTGGAAGCTGGGAGGCACCCATGGCAGTGGAGGATGACGGAGGTCGATTGTGAAACGAGAGAGCAACAGCGGATTTCCCGTTGGTCCAGCGCAGATCGGGCACGTGTCCTGGCTGTTGAGGCTGATGGTTTACCGTCGGTGCGAGTTTCGAGATTATGGATTGGCAGGTGGACGACGGACCTTTTGCAGAACGAACATGACGATAGCGTTGAGGCGATAGATGATATACATACTGGATTTGGAAGTGTGCACATGTGCCTTGTCGGGCGTCTGCTCAAGTGCGCGCACGAGAGACATCGCGCGTGTCCTGGTTCGATACGTTCTTAGCTGTGTAGTTACACGCGCATATGTGACACATAGGGATAGAATGAGAATAATAATAATAATAAAAGCGTGTCCTGGTTCCCTGTTCTGCTCCATCTACCCCGCTACACCCAGTCTCCTCCCATATCGCCCCGCCCTGGCTACTCCTCGGCACGTTCAAAGATCGGTGCCATAGACTGGGGTGCCTATTCACAACGTCGCATCTGTCCATGAGAACCCCAGGTATGTACCTACCAAACCTAATCCTCGCCCCTTCATTCTCGCTCGGTCTCCCAAGGACTTCGAGAACTGCCACGAAACCGTCAATATTACCTCCGGCACGCTCGCCCGCGCTCTCGACTGGCCCAGCATCCCATACGCTCGCGTCACAGTGACTACGAACGGAATCTACGTCAAACTCCCTCTGATACCCTGCTACGATCGCTCGGGGGTCCAGCATTGTCTCGCCATCCTCACTTGCCAGGTGCCTCTACCGCGGAGGGACGAAAACCAGGATCGCCCGCGTCACTTCGAACAGCGCAAGCTTCAAGTCGTCTGTTTGGTTCTCCACTCGCATGGCGAAGGGCAATTGTGCAAGAGCACCGAGATGTTCGTAGGATTCGCGCCCATAGCTGAAAGGCTGCAGATCGACCCCTGGAATCCGATCAAAGCCGCGCTCGACAACATGGCGAGCTACTTCCGCCTGGCGACGCTTCCTCTCGAAAGCCTCAAGGCGTTTAAGGATAACGCCAAGGTCGAGTCCATCTACATCCACCATCCCACTTCCGATGAGGACGGTCCCTCGGGGTCCACCTTCCTCCTCCAGGCGCTTGCGCGAGAAGGCTTGGACGACCCCAAGTTCGAGCTGACGACATGGTGCTCGGATGTTCTCACCCTCTCTCTCTCTCTCTCACCAAGCAGGGCTTCGCCGTCAGCCGATCCCGCACTCAGATGATCACGATTTCCGACGTCGCGTCGAAGTCGGACGGGCTCACTATCGAGGTCACCCGCTGCGACTGCGCGGGCCATCATCCTTCCCCGCTCCAACAGCAGCGACTCGGTGTCCCCGCCGCAGTACTGGTCGTGGGACATCGCCGCGGACTATTACGGCGATGCCGGCTCGCGCGCGAACTGGAATTGCTCCAGCTACCACATCTACTCGTGGGACATCAAGGACGGCGTCGCGCACCGCTCGTTCAAGCCACCGGGCCGACAGTCTGCCGGCGGGATCGAGCACATCAGCATCCTGGTCAAGCACGTCCCGCAGCCGGAGCGCTTCGTCGTCGACCTCAAGGTCGTCCGGTTCCGGCCTGACGAGTTGGCGTCCCAGCCGACGTGGCCCGCGGAGGACTTTCCGCCCTTGCCGCCGTCTACCATCTCCGGCTAGCCCGAGCCCTCTGATGGACCAAGTCCGAGTCAAACGCCTGCTACGGGGGTCATCCCGTATACGGGAGAGTCTAGGCTGGGTCTGACGTCCCTACGCAGAACGGCCTCGTGGACCGAGCTGGAAGTTTACCGTTTATCCCCAGATCACGGAGCACTACCCGTGGTGACCGCGCTACCACCGAAGATTTGTGAGAAGAAGCTCAAGAAGCGTCGCACTGCCAATGATGCTGCAAGTCGAGGTGAGTATGGCATTAAGTACCTCTGCGCTGCCCCCGTTTACAGCTGAATATGTCAGACTCCGAGAAGCCCTCAACTCCTCAACCTGCTCAAGAAACTCCCGACGCATCTCCTGTAAAGCACCAAACGAATTCTGCTGGTATTAGACCGTTTGGTTGGATGATGGCGGCGATGATGATGATGATAATTGTGCTTTTGCTCCTTGTACTATCACGACCCCAGTGTTCGGACAGACCCTAGTGTTCAGACAAACGTGAATTGGGCTCCAGTACCTCTACCGACAATCATGAAATCTTATATTTGGCTAGGATATCTTCTCACACAGCTATGTTCGAAGTTTCGCGTCCTCCCAGTCCAAGCTGGGTCCGATCTCGAGGATGCACTCATTTTGCAAAGTGCCGATCACACGCCCAGCCCAGCGCTATTTCTCTTCCCCCTCAATCCACGACGTCCGCCCGTCATCCACCGTGGATGGCTGTTGCATTCGACGTTATCAAGAGATGACATTGCTGGATTTCGGGGGCAGTTGGTTCGGAAAGACAAAAAGGGGAGGCCAGGGGAGGGCAGCATCAAGAGACACACACTTCATCACGTGCAAAAACGCGCCTGTCACATCGTGTTACGGGAACGCGACGCGGGACCGACGCGCTGAGTTTCGACTCTTTCTCTCCCCCACTGGCTCAAGCTGCTGCCGCTCATCCCGTTCAACGGTGATGTCGGACATCGTCTTTGAACAGGTTGTTTATCACATCTCCGAAACCCTCGACGTCCAGAAACGCGAGCAGCTCTCCCAGGTCCTCGACGCGCGCGGGGCACAGAAAGCCGAAGATGTCACCGACCCTGACCTCACCCACTTCATAACATCGTCTTTGCCCCTCGAAGACTTCGTGGAACAGCTCCCCCCACATTCTCGTGCGCATACAGTCACCCCACTATGGGTCGAACGCTCCTTTGTCCTCGGCTCCCAGCAAGACCCCGAGTTCTTCTCCGCCGACCCCGCCTACCTCTTCTCTGGCGTCACCGCGACTGCGACAGACCTCTCGGCGGCCGACTGCGAGCTCATGTCGGCCGCGATCACCGCCATGGGTGGCCAATGGCGCACGGCCCTCACCCGCGACGTCACCCACCTCTTCGCGCTCGCAAAGGGGAGCGCAAAGTACGAAACGGCGATGCACTACCGCGAACAGATGAACGTTTGTGTCCTCGTCCCCCACTGGTTCGACGACACCGTCCGGCTCGGCATCCGCGACCTCCCCACGCGCAAATACGAGTGGCCCGAGCCTGCGGTCTTCGGCCAGCGACTGGAGGGCCGAACTTCTCAAGAGGACGTCGACTACGAGCCTACGAAGGAGCGGATGATGCTGTACGACACGGTCGATGTCGGCCGACGACCACAAGAAGATGCGACCGGCGGAAGGGAAGGTGTGGGAAGGGAAGCGGATCCTCTTGGGCCTCTCGCTGGACCTCTCCGACCATCAACGCGACGCGCTTTGCGTGGACATCCGACGACAAGGCGGAATTCCGATCGTGTCCCCTCTGAGAAGTCACGAAGGCGGCGGGACGCGTGCAAGAGGAGTTGGCGAAGATGGAGGAGACGGACATATACGTGACGCGGTATCGGACAGGAGCGGCGTATGCTAAGGTGCGTCTCTTCCTCGTTCTGCGCCATTTTCCATCTCCAATGGGGGCTATAGGCATACAAGCTCGAGAAGACGATCGGCACGCTCGCGTGGTTGTGGTATGTCCGTGCCTCTGGCAAGCTATCGAGGCCGGCAGACCAGCTTCTGCACTATCCTATCCCCGACTCGCCGGCAAGCGGCTTCGAGAAAGAGGTGAGAGCTCGAAGTACATGAAGGCTGTTTTGACGCATAGATTCAGGTGGTCACCGTCACCAACTACACAGGGAAGGACCGGGAATATCTGAAGAAGCTCATCACTCTCATGGGGGGAGAGTTCACGGCGTCCATGTCCGCGGAGAAGAACAGTATCGTCGTGGCTGCATAGTGCGTGTCTTGATGTTCGAAGCGAATGTTTGGCTCAATCAAAGCAGTTTGCAGGGGACGAAAACGGACAAGGCGGCATCATGGTCTATCCCTATCGTCAACCACACCTGGGTTGAAGATGCTTCATTCAATGGCGACGCTCACCCTGCTCGCGACAAGTACATCCTGTTCCTCCTGGCGTCGACTTCAGCGTCGTTTTGGCACAGCGGGGCTAGGCAAGATCGCATGGGAGCCAGGTCAGTTGGAGGAGATGGAGGCCGAAGTGGAGGCCGAGGAAGAGGCTTGGACACGTCGCCGAGAAACGCACGAATACCAAGACCCTACCACTAGTCCACGAAAGCAGAAGAACCACAAGGCCCGAGACGACTTGCGACCAGTCGGAACGCTGCAGAGCGTGGGTGAGGTCGAAGATGCAATCGCGATGGACGAAGGCGCGGACATGGATGTGGACCCGACCAATCGGCCATGGATGTGACGACGAGCCGAGCCCTAGCAAACCGTCACCAAGAAGTCGCCAGCGAAACCTGGTGAAGAGGAAGCTTGTCCGGAGGGTCTCCCGAAAGCCTGAGAACGACTCAGAAGAGCAACGTCCCACCACTCCCGACACGTCTCCCAAGAGGCCCTCACGAACAACGAAGCCGCAAAGGCTGCCCCCGCGGACTCGACTGGAGTCGCCCACCACGTCCAGGAAGCTTCAGACCGCACGTCGAAAGGTCCTGCCTCGCGATGAAGAGAGCTCCGCCGAAGAAGAAGTTCCGAAGACGAAGTCCAAGGCCAGAGCCAAGCCAGCAGCCCCCGCACCCTCGACCGAAAACAAGGAACAGGTCTCTACGAAGAAGCATAAGGTCGTTCACCCTCCCAGCGACTCAGACTCGGACTTCCCGATGACCTCCGCTCTGTCTCGGCGACCTGCTGTCGAACAACAAGGGCAAGGCACGCGAAAAGCCTGCGCCGAAGAAGCGCGACGCCGACCCTGCCGTTGCCGACGGCCACGACTCCCTCCCATACGCAGCGAAAAGGCAAAACGAAGGCACCCACGACTTTCAAGGTGGGACCTCCGAAGGCCGCACCGAAAGCGTCAGCGTCGAGACACCGGCCCTCGCAAGATCAAGAAGACGGCGGCGCTGGAGGCGGAGAAAGAGCATGGTGATCATGCGTCCACAACAGAGAGCCCTTACAAGGTCGGACGGACGCCACGGGGGGCCGCGACGAAGGCCGCGCAGAAGCTGCACGATGTCGTGATGCCGGACGTGCTCTCGTACCAGAAGGAAGTTAAGAGCGGGACGGTGCGTGCCACCCACGAACGCGACGGCGGAGCATCAACGTCGTTGCCGGCCAAGGGCAAGAAGCGCCCCTCGATGGGATCGGCAGGCCCGGAGAGTGAAGAGGAGGATGAGATTGCACAACCGGAGAAGAAGAAGCGGAAGGCGGGTGAGGTGGAGAACGGTGGTGCGGCGCCGGGGAAGGGGAAGAGGAGGAGGAAGTCGGGCACGGATGCGGATGCGACGCGCAGTGAGGATGAGCAACCCGCCCCAAAGGCCGCGCAGGCCGTGCGGGTCATGACACAGCTGGTTCTAGGAGACGACGTGACTAAGTGCGTATCTATCTCTCACTCCGTCCAACCTCCGTTGAAACGCACTACGCAGCGATTGACGAAGTGGGCGTCAAGTTCGTCACCAAGCCCGCAGAGTGTACACATCTGCTCGTCAAGAACGTGGTGCGGACAGAAAAGTTCCTGTGCGCGATGGCTGTGCACCGCATGTGCTTACTGAAGGGTGGGCTACGTCGTCAGCTGCGAGCAAGAAGCTGCTCGGTGAGTGGCGCGTATCCGTTTCGACAAGCGCGTACACTGATACCATTGGCAGCGAGGACCAGTTCGCGGTCAAAGACGGGGACACGGAGAAGAAGTACGACTTCAAGCTCACAGACGCGCTGAGTTCGCGAAGAAGAACGCGGGGAAGCTCTTCAAGGGGATGACGTTCTAGTCACGCCGAAGGTCCCCGTCGAGACCAAGCTCCTCAAGAATGTCGTTACCGCGAACGGCGGCACAGTGCGTATTTTGTATGACATTCTGGTCTTCCGATGCTCATACCACTGCGTCAGCTCTCTACCCAGTCGCCTACGGTGCGGATCTTGGACGGACACGACAATCGCTTCGTGATCTCGAGCCCCGGAGATGTGTCGATCTGGCGGCCCTCGTGAAGCACCATCCCATCTACAACCAGGAGCTCATTCTCACCAGTGCGCTCAAGCAGGAGATAGATGGGATCAGGCTACATTCCGGGTCCCGGGTTCGTCTTGATCAATTGTGGGTACCGGGTGGATTGCATTGCCACTATGGCTTGTGTAGTATGTTTACTGTGCCTTATCGCTATCTCGTACATTCTAGTGGTCGCATTGCTTTCATTGATTGATATACCTGTTTGTCTCTTAGAACCAGGCTCCACTGATTGGACTTCGAAGTTCGAATCTAGTCGAACCACTTCATTTCCGCTGTTGGCCAGCCGCCTCATAGTACTTCGAGACAGGTCATGTCGATACTTGGTGCGGCCCCGTACGCATATGTACTCTAGTACATATTCACAAACTCCGGAACATCAAGCAGAGTCAATGACCAATCCGCCGGCGGTAAACGGGAATCCATGTATGACTAACATTGGAGTAGGAAGTCGCGGGACGAGCCCAACAGTGCAACCCAATGTGAACACCAAACCCGACTTGAGAAGGGTCGCAACACCACAGACGCTAGCCATGATGCTCAGGTCAACGTGTGTTGCCGGAGTCTTTGCAGCGCAGGAACGAAGTGTCAAACCGGTGTCGTACCAACTTGCGGTCAGTGTCCAGTACAGATCGTCATGCCCTGAAGCATTTACGAACTTCGTGGTATAGAGCAGGAGGATGCACATTGCACACTGTAGGTGACGTCTGTCAGGGCTGGCGAGCGGTATGAATCGCGCGAGTTCAGTAATGAGAACTTCTCAGACGCGTAATAAGGTTAAAGCGAATACTATACAAAGCTTGTCCGCTTGAAGTCGTCACGGGCGCTGTATTAGTACTGCTCCTTCGACTGTGGCATCGCATCAAGTTTGGTCGCCTTACCCTCGCCGACCTTCTCGATGCGCATGAGCTCGATTTGGACCACATTCCGATCATCTCCCTCCAGCCCAGCGATCGATGCGGATAGGAGCCTCGTCCGCACCGCCGAGCTTGTGATGGATGGTGGCAAAGAGCTCGTACTTGAGCGGGAACTCGGTGTCGTAGTGCACTTTCTCGTTGAAGCTTTGGACAATGCGGTATCGATCTTGGGCTTCCAGAAGTGCTTGGAATAGATCCAGATCATGAATCGCTGAGACAACAGAGACGGTCGGTTGGATGGGGTCGCGGACGAAGTCGCGCCGAAGGACAGAGCAGGGGAGTGGAGTCTCGTACCTCATGTCCCATAAAAGCGACGGCCCCCCTACCACATATTGCCTTCCAGTCATCATAGACAACGACAATATGTGGCGGGAGAGGAGATACTCCTATAGAGAGAGCTAGAGGACGATCTAGTGGGATGATTTAGATACGAGCAAGTATAGCACGATAGACTGACCGACAGGGTTCTTAGGAAGCTGCTTGATTTCGTTGGCACCATCTTGGGACATGATGGTATTCGGTCAAGGTGAGCACGGTGGGAACCAGTGAGGGGGCGAACGTGATCCGCTCTGGCTGCGGATTGCTACCCATTCAACAACATAGACGCGGGTCGAATATACTCGCCTCGGCCTCTCTTCGCACTCGTGCAGGTTAGGCGATGCCTTGTTTAAAGTCTTTGAAAATTCTGCTGTTATCAGGAGACGATGCTACTGATCATAGCAGCCAGTCCTCCGGATGAGGTCAGAGGTGAAGGCGTCGCAACGCCCTCGACGTTCAAATGGACAGCAGGACGTAAGAGTATATTGGTCGTCGCCGCTCTTAAATCGGGAAATTTCGAAGTCACAGTTGACCACACACCTGCGGGTTCCTTCCAGGTCCAAAGCACATCCTGCAAGCTACGCGGTCTGTGCTGTGTTCCAATTTTGGCGTTCAATGGCGGCCAATTAAAGGGCTACAGCCTCCACGTGACCTGCCACTGTAATTGCCACGTGGGACTCTGATCGCGGTTGGTTCGCGGTCCGGACAAGACGGTTTGTGGGCG